TTTATTTGCTTTGGCTTCTGTTGCATATCTTGTATGAGCAAGCAGCTGAGCACCCATGGAGAATTTGCATGTGGATTAAAGAGATCTGCTATGGTGATCCATAAATAAATTCGAGCATGTTCTAATGCTCATAAACCAGCTGAAATGAAAATTACCCAAACAATTGAATAGCTTGTGATCCATCATACTGTGGTTTCTAAAATATAATTTTCATAATTACTATTTCTTGTTGCAGGCATTCCACAATGTCTTGGATAAATACTTGGGAGTAAAATTTTGATTTGTCAAAGCTCATGGACTGGATTAGTTTTCAGTGGCAAACTTATTTAAAGAAATTGGTCCCACGGATGATCTCGAAATAGTAAATTGATGCCATTGTCATAGCAGAAGCTTTCTGTTTCAATCGGTACTTTTACATGTGAGTCATCCACAATTTTGTAAAGAAGGAATCAATATGGCTTTTGATCACGCTGCATACCTCAGCTTTCTACATGATATCAGGTCCATATTGTTTGACTTGAAATGTAATTCAATTGAATTGTTTGTAGCTTCTGTTTGGTTCAAATTTTGAAACTATGTGCTTTTTATCCCTTTGTTTGATATGCCATGTGTTATATCAAGAGTAATAAATTCTAATTTGTTTGTGTCAATAGCTCTTTAGAAAACAATATATGATGTAGCCAGAACAAAAGCAATGTTCCTAAATTTTCATCACCAAGACAGTTAACCAGAGCTCAAATGTTGAATATTAAGAGTTTTAGATTAGGTGGCTTAAGGAAAGCAAGATCATAGAGATCCAATTTAGTGCAATGAAGAAATAGAATTATTATTTATATATGTTTTTTGTTTATTTAAATTTCAGTGATGATACTGAAGATTGTTGTAGAAAAAAGTGTTGTATGGGGAATAGAACAGAAGGGAGAAAGAAAAAAAGCAGAGAGAAAAGAAGGTTGGGTAATAATTAAGGGATTGGAAGGAAGAAAAGAAAGAGGGAAAAGGAAGGTTTATTGGGATGAGATTCCCTGATGAAAGATGACATGAGCAAGAAGTAAGTATGAGCATATGTTGATTGTTGAGAAAGAAAAGAAAAGAAAAGAAAAGGAAAGGAAAGGAAAGGAAATAGAAGAGAAGCTTTTTGTTTGTCTGGTTGTGAGCGTGAGGCAGAGAGTAAGATAAAAAGAGGGTGTCTTTTTTACTAGGCAATTGGCATGTATTGTACATTAAACCATGCATTTGCAACTTACATCTACTTTCTAAAAGCTTGGATATTCATATTCTTATACCTCCTCCTTTCATTAATCCCTAGGCTCCCTCTTTACTCTTCCTGAATATACCAATTAGATTTCACAATAAAGATAATCCCCCATTCTCTTTATCACAAAACCCGTCTCAACTTTGTGTTAGAGCTCTTGATGAAGGGTCCAATATGGAAGAAATGGTGGGTCATGGAGACAAAGTAATGAGGAAACCATTACCCAAATCGAATTATTTGATGTTATTATTATTGCAGGTTGAGGCTAAGCTGCTACCAACTAAAGGGAACTGTGTGACATGGGGACGTGCACAGAAATTGATAAAGTTATAACTATTGTAATTTAGCATCTTTTTCATAACCGTTGACATTCATTTTTCCTACTTTGATTTTTTTTTTTTTTTCCTTCTTTTCCTTTTGGGTTTTGGTTTACCACTAAGTTCCGGACCACCACCACACCCAGCACAAATACACATACGCCATGATCAACTTAGTTACTCCCTTTTTATCTCACGCAGTCACGCTTACACACCTCTTTAGGAAAGTCTACGTTTTTCTCGAAATTATCTAACTCTTTTCTCTTAGTACACATTCATTAAAGAAAGTTGCTTCAAAAGAATTTCTTGGAATTTGATTATGTCTATACTCAATTCAATTTTCAAAAAAATTCCCATATTTTCTTCTTACAAGTTTTATTAAGTCGCACTCGATTACAGCTAGTGTGAACGAGTTTATGACTTTCGAGTTTCATTTCACAAAATTTAATAGGCTGAGTGCCAAATTCTCTCCTAATTAAATGACAAAAAAGTTCCATTTCCACATCAATGGTAGTTGCTGGGAAGAAGACTTCTTCTTTCTGATTCAAGCTGACAAAGCAATTTCAATCTAAATTTTCTTTTTGCTTCCAATTTTGTCAGGTCTGCATACTATCAATTGACGGCAAAAGGAAACTAACAGTCTAACATTATATTATATTATATTATGTTATTGGTATTGCTTAGACTTAGGGCTCCCATTTTCTTTATATAAAGCTATATACAGTATTGACTATTAATCGAGAGATTAGGTTAATTTGAAAAGATAAATTATGTCTTCACTTTAAACTTGTCAAAGAGTGATGGCGAGATGCCTTATTTGATTCGAATGTAAAAAGTTGACCATAATATATATACAATAGTTGAAAGTCATGTTTAATTTTTATCTTAATTATCTCTCTTCATCTCTTTAACTACAGTACTAAAGTTACCCATTTAACGTAGCCTCTTAGAATCTGGAAATATTTTTGATTTCATGGATAATTAATTCACCTCCATAATAAAAAAAACTAAAATGAAATTAAAGGGCTATCACTATCTATCAACTTACTACCAGTAGTATTTGGTTACTTAGAAACGCAAGGGCTCACTAGCTTGTGAATCCCAACTCTCCACCGACACCCTTACCTCACTCACCCACAAGCTTATCTCCTCCATCTATCCTAACATGCTTTGTTTTTCTCAATCTTCTGATGCTTTTCATCATCTACATAATTCAATCATACACGTGATTGAACGAATGTATATGTATTAGGGTAAATCTTAAAGGATGATAATAGTGCATGTAGTGTAGGGTCTTCATGTGAGAGAAGAAAATTTATACATATCTTCACATGTATGGCTCGTCGAATTTCTTTCTCTTTCTTTGGACACAAATACAATGGATATATATCCCTTGAAACTTGTCTATAACTCAATAACGGGGCGCACGAAATTTCCAAATACCATTCAGCCATGGATCATGTTCATGTACGAACACTGCATGCATACGTGTTGAACAAATATATATATATAAAATACCAATTTGAACTTAACAACTAGGCTTTTAAAATAAGCTTTTAGAGAATTGTAATACGTTAATTTTTGTTCTAAACTTCTAATTGAGATCCTTTCCACTTCATTAGGAGTATATATGATCAATCATTGAAGAAATGTTTACTTTATATTTGGTTGGGAGAGATTTTATACTTATTACTATAGAAAAAGAAGCTCCCAAATATAGCAATAAGAATAAAATCTCTTATTGTTTTGATTTCTTATTTTATAATTCATATTTTAGTAGTATTAAGATTTCAATTCATTGTTTTAATAATATTTGGATAACACAGAAATTGATATAAAAAGGTTACTGTAAAATTAAGTGATCAGATTCGACAACTTCACTATACTTATCAAATTGATATTAATGTCTTCCTCAATAATCTAAATGACCAACTAGTCGTGTATGTTTTAACTGAAAAAAAAAAAATCATTACTGAAATTAGACAAAAAGATTAAGGAGATAATCTTAAAGATGATAGTATAGAAATACCAAAAATTTCATACCAAGAAACTCTAAACATGCTTGAGAGTAAGAAGTATTTTGGCTTTAACAAGAAGATGTTCATGCTGATGGTTTATTATGTATCTGTAAGATATAGTAACAACTCTTAAGCATAAATCATTGTCCCAAACAACTTCAAATAAATATTTTATTTCATCTTAAACCTTTAATGTAACATAACATATATTTTCTGTAACATGCATATAATTATTACTATGTAAAGACAAATTCCTTAAGATGGGACCTTAAAAGATTATAATTTATTATAATATGAAATTTATTCTTATTTATAACTGGTCCAAGTTGGGACCGGAAGTTTTTATAACTGCATAGAAGTTATTCCTATATAGAGTATCGGTACAGAGATGTTCTACTGTATATTTAATTAATGGGGTGCTTTTTTTTTTTTCTCACCATTGGCTCTTAATAAGTCTTTGTCTTCATAATCATCCAGCTGGGATCAAAGTTAATTTCAAAATAACTTATCATGATAATGCTTGAATTGATGAAAGTACAAATATTGTTGGTGCAAACTAATCACATCACGCATTCATGTGATACCCTTTTTCAAACCCTATAGCTTTATTAAAATATTGTCAACTTAATTAATTTCATTTAACCACTACTAATTATAATAAAAGATATGATAGAGGATCATAGCAGGAAAACTGAGAACATCTCAATATAAATTTTTACAGTTGTCCCAAGAAGAAATACCCTTTTGTTCATAATAATGGCAAGCATAGATCTATGGACCATTTGTCCTTTCCTCCCGTTTGGTATATTCTATCTAGAGAATAGAAATCAATTCCAACACAAAATAAGAAAGAAAGGAAGATAATAATTTACTGGTCAATTTGCGATAATAACTATGATCATCAGAGCATATATTATTATATATAAAAAGAAAAAGAAAAATTATTATATAATTTTAACCCAAGATTCATCATTTCCAAATCTATAGTAAAATTTCTCATCAACGATTCTGGGGTACATAAATATAATATAAAAGTTATATAGTAAGTTTTATATAGCTGTCGTGATAAAGATGGGACACATAGTATTACTACAAAAGTAAACCCGTGAAATATATTTTGCATGTGATCTCTTCTTCTCCTTCACAAAACTACAAGAATGCCACTGTCACTGCCATGGCCAGTGCTCTATGTCCTCTCCAAAATGGATATTAAATATTATAATTTTCATGGGAAATTAAGCTTTGATGAGAAATATAAGTCACTGATAAAATATAAGAGACAAAAATTTAAACAAAAGAAACCCCTATGGAAAACAACGAAGCGTTTCCAAGTTTGAAACCCAGAAAACTAAAAAATGTCGTAATATTGAAACATACAGGAGATGAAGGAGGTGACAGTCTCGTACTAGTTCTTTTCTTCTGTCACTGAAGAAGATATATATATATATATATATATAAATTAAAGATAATGCTTAAAAGTACTGTTTTAACCTTTCCCTTTCGATTCTTTTTCTCTTTGTTTAGAGCTATAGCTTTTGCCTTTCATCTTCTACTTCTTCAACAGTCGCCCCACGTTTCGGAGGCGTGAGGCTCATGGAATCCGAAACTTTGAGGTTTCAACAGTGATAGATTTGGGTGGTGGTGGTGGTGGTACTCTAAGCCTGTGTTGTACGTTAAAACATCCCTCACGTTAACGTTTTCGTTGCCATTGCCGTCGCCAGTGAGTCCAAGAAAATCCCGGGTCAGGCGGTCGGTCTTCTGCCACGTGGAGAGGTTGCCTGACGTGAACCCTCCCATGTAGGTTTCGGGTGAGATGTTGTTGTGAGTCACTGAATGATGATCAATCTGAGCCAAATCACCAATGTTGAGTTCCGTCATGTGTCCTATTGACTGAGGTTGTTGCTGTCCAGGAGGAGTTGCACCCACGGTTGCCGCCTTCTGGAGGAGTGCAGTGGCTGACAGTTGGTGGTGGTGGTGGTGGGCTGACGTGGCAGTTGGCTGCGTGTTCACATGCAGATTTTGGAAGGGAGATTGTGAATCAATCAAGGCCTTGTGATTTTGAGTTTGTACTTCTTGAAAGTATTGTGAGGAGGAAGAGAGAGATGGGATATGGAAATGGTGAGATTCAGTCTTGATATGATGAACTGGGTTTTGAGTTTGAGGATTACTGTTATTAGGGTTAGGGTTTTGATGAGATGGATGATCCCATGGAGTTGGGGCAATGTGAGTGGTGAAAGGGAAGAGAGAAGAAGAATGATTTTGATTGGCTAGTTGGCTTGCAGAGATTCTTGCACTTTCTTCAGCTAATGCATCACAAAATGCCCTGTGGGTTATGAAGCTATCTTTCCTGTTGTTGATTTCACAAATTGAATGTCAAAAACTAGCAATACTGGAGAATTGAATTCAATTGAATTATAACAATAACAAAATTTAGAAATATTGTTTAATTAATTGATGATATAAATAATTGTTAATTATGTACATCTTCAATGGTGAAAAGAAAAAAGAAAGAGAGATTGACTAATTCAGGCAGGCCATGCATGCGGATATCAAATAGGACCTACAATTGTCATAAAGCTTACAAAACACAAAGCAGAGAAAAAAAACCATCTTTGATGGGTCAAATTTATGACATATGAATGATGATTAATTATATTTATCCATGCAAAAATGGGCATATGGATATGTAGGGGGCTCAAAATTTCAAGACAATAGTAAATTTCGAGACACAAAAGTCTTTTGAAAGTAGAGCTTTCATGCATGTAAACAAAGATTTGTAATTGAAACCCCCCATGGACCTTCTATGACTATCTATCTACTCATGGAGATAAAAGGAGTAAGAACAAATCAGCACATCAGATATTTTTGCAGATTTATTCAACTTTTCCTCATGATGAAAGTTCAGAGTTTCAGTCTTCTCTGCAACTTAATAATAATGGCATGCTGCTTCATGAAAAAACAAACAAATAAATAAAAATTTATCACGGGTTTTCTCTACCATGAAATTCCAAAGGTAATTTAAGTTTATTCTTCAACTTTTTTCTTGGAGACTGCTGTCACTCCATTATATTCATCATTGTTTTGAGACTGCAGTCACTCCATTACAAAGTACCAAAAGAGGGAAAACACCGAGAAAATTAAAGCTATTAATTCTTTTGCATGAAAATTAAACAATACTTAATATTATTTAAATAATCAAATTAAAACTTAAGGTAAAAATGGTGGTTTTTCACAAACTAATCAGGATCCTCTCCAGAAAATAAAAGATCAAAGCTTTTGCTACTGATATATATATATATATATATATCATCAAAGACAATATGTATATATAAGCACAACATAAAACAAAAGATTACGTTTGACTGTTCTTTTTCAAGCATAAACATGGCTGCAGGTTTCAGATTCAGAGATATTGGTTTCAGTTTCTCTTAAAATGTCACCAGTAACAGACACTTGTATTAATATTGGTGTCCACTTCCATGCATATCATGCAGTCACTGCAATATATTTAACCTCCAGATATAATATTCCATGCAGCGTTTAATTTCCTCTCTTGTGAAAAGAGGAATCACAAAACAAAACAAAAAAGACCAAGATTTAATTGATTTCTATGAATTATTCTTCCCATTAGAGAAGTCCAAAGTACGAAACATCAAAACTAATGAAAAGAGGATAGGGACTTTGAGAGACAAATGGAAAGATGGAAAGATTAGAAAAGAAGGTTTCATGAATTTGAATAAAAAGAGAAAAAAGGAAATAAAGAAAAATAATATTACCTGGAGAAAAGGGTTCCACAGTCACATCTATATTCTCTTGTCCCACAGGTTTTAGAATGAGCCTTCCAATCCGATTGAACAGCATAGATCTTGGAGCATTTCTCACACTTCCATTTCTTCTCTCCATGTTTCCTGCAATAGTGTTTCTTGATTCCTGTAAGGTCACCTAGAGCTCGCGAAGGATGGTGATGAACACAAGAAGGCTCTGGACAAACATAGGCTCTCTTTTTGATTTCTTTGCTGCTTCTTTGCTTTAGCTTCCATGGAAGATTGTGACCTCTCCTGTGAAGTTGGAGGTTTTGGTCTCTTTGAAACCCTTTGTTACAGATCTCACACACAAATCTGTTGGTAGCCAATAGAGTTTTCGGAGATAATGCAATCACTTCAGCATCCGGGTCTGCAACATGAAAAAAGAGAGTAGAAATTATAAAAAGAAAATTTGATTAAGACAAAATTTGAAGAGAGAAGAAATTATATCATATCTGACCTGGGTTTCCGGGAAGGCTTCTCTTCTTCTTGATCTTCTGTGGCTGCTGAGGGGAAACCGATGGATTTAAGCCGCCAGCACCGAAGTCCTGAATTCTAGTACCGGAAGAAACACTAGCTTCTTCAGATAAAGAAGTTGAATTCGACATGGCTGCAGCAAACATGAGTACTAGTTTCTGGGAAAGACGAAAACTCCAACAAAATAAAACAAGAAAACCCACTTCACAAAATATGATCTTTTTGTTTTGTTTGATATATATATTGAACTTGAACGAACAATTTGATGGAAAAAGAACAAAAGATTAACAACACAACACAACGCAACAAAACTAAACTAAACTAAACTAAACGGAGCTAGCTAGCTTTTTTGAAGAAGAACAGCAGGTGGCAGTGACATACAGAAACAGAAGGGGATCATTGATAAGGAGGCAAGGCAAAAGTGAGAAAATAAGATCTCGTGAAGAGATGATGATGATGGATTATTCTTCAAGTCGCTATCTTACTATCTAGCCATGGATTGATTATCTGAGCAAGTCTACAACACAATTCAGATAATCTCTTTCAACCTATATTAAAAACCTATTCCATGCAATCAAAACTAAGGAATAAAGAAAGAAACAGAAAGATGGTTTTTTTTTTTTTTTTTTCTTTTCTTTAAACCTCTATGTCTATCTCCACCACCCACTCAATAACCTCTTCTTGATTTATATCTATTATGTGTACAAAAAGATTATATATAAATGTAAAGAGACGGAGACAGAGACAAACAGTAAAATTAATGAGAGAAGGGAGGTTTCAGGAAGAGAGCTGAGTATTGTAAATAGATACTAGGGTACAAGAAGTGATGATTATAGTGGCAGACTATGAATAAAGGGGGTGGCAAAATAGAAAAAATTAAAAAGAAAAAATACTTAAAATAAAATAAATTTACTGTTGAAAGAAAAGGCTAAGGATTCTGGAAAGTGGGGAGAGAGAGAGAGAGAAGAAGGCAGCTAGCCCACAAGCAAAGACTAGGAAGAATCAAACCCAACTTGATTCAGCAAATTAAAAATATTCTTCATACTTTTATTAATTATTAATTTTTATTTGATTTAATAGTAATTCTTTCGAAGTATGACGTTGCACTTTCTGTCTGTTCCTTTGTTCCTGTTATAAAACACCCAAACCCTAAAAGGGCATTGATTTGAATGGAATGATATTATTAAAAGGAGGGATTGCTTTGCTTACTAAAGGATCATGACTTATAGAAGAATGAGAAGCTTAAAAAGACATTGATGAGGAATGGCAAAGGCAAAGAGATATATATCTCTAGGGTTTCTCAAAACCTTTTTAATATTAATACCCCACAGGCTAAAATCATTGATAAATTGATTACATTTTTGGCTAAGCCTACTATTATTATAAGTTTGATTATACTAATGTATGATTTAATTAAGTTGATGAACTTATTATTATTAATTCATATTATCTATCAAATTTAATTTCTATGAATTATTGGAGATGGGTTTGCCGGGGTGATAAGTAATATTGTTTCTTGTATTTCATTATTTTGTTGATGATTTTTCTCCCTTTCTGTCTCTCTTTCTTTTGTAATTTTATTCTCTCTCACATCTCCTAGTGCATAGTGAAAGTGCTCCAAGCAAACCCCACCAAGGGGAATTTGGAAGGCCTCTTCTTTTTCCCTTCCTTCTTTCTTTAACTTTTTTTTATTCCAAACTTAATTCTAAAGCCATGAAGATTGAAGAGATAGAAGAAAACACTTTATCCTCCTCATTTATCCAAATAAACTCCATTACAATGGTGATCTACTAGCTCTTTAATCTTTTTAAGAGATGAAGAAATTAGTGATTCATAAAGGTAGCTTCCATGCAAATCCAATTACATACTTAAGCTTGATGAGAGATTCAGGACCCCATTTGCCTTATGACCTTTGTGTTAATTCATGGGCAATGTGATATTGCTATTATTATAAACCCTTTGGAATCCTATGTGTGTCTTTTGAATTGAATCAGTTGAGCTTTTGAGTAAGATTCATTTCCCCTTTTCTTTTGGGATAAGACGAGATTTTATATATGCTCATCGATTCACCAAGCTTTATTTATATATTGTCACTAATATAGAAGCATTTCAAAACTTCTATTAATCAGAGATTTGCAGAATAACACGAGTAAGTAGTAGTAGATAGTGTAAGAATATAATACTTAAACATGATGACGATGTAGTGAAGACCTTTTCTGATGATTAGACTGGTTTCTGTATTGGTTTTTTCATTAAAGGAAATGAAAAATAGAAGCATCTTGGAAACATTCATGGACTCCGAAAAGAATGACTAAGTCTAAGTGATGAGTTATATTTACTGTCACTTAGGCATAACTATCCCGTTTTGATTGTGATTTTGTGAATATTGACCATTAGAACAAACTCCAAGGAGAGGAGACTTAAAACTCTTTATTTGTCTTCACATGATACAAAATCAATCCATGGTAGTAAACTTTGAGCTACTTAGCGGTCAATAATCCATCTATTAGTCTACGATATCTTCAAATTTAGATACATGGTTTGGTTGGTACAAACAAATACCTATAAAATATAATAAATTAATAATTTAGTACACACTAATTCCAGTAAGAAAACCTAAGTAGTTAGGCAAGATGTCACATTCAAAATAGTTGTATTAGAAAACCATTTATTTAATTAATTTGATTGCCCAAGTTATGATTACCCATTTTCACTTGTTATATTTATTTTCTACTGTCATCTGATCTCTTAATTATATATTTTGGTTTTTTATTTTGGGTCTCTGTTGTGCATGCAGAGGTAGCCAGTTTGATGAATGAGAAAGAACATTATATCCCCCACACCCACGGGCCCATTCTTTGTTCACGGGTTCTTCTATTACAAGATTCTCATCCATTTTTTGCTTTTTATTTCCCTTCAACCCCTCTACTTTTCCTTTATTATAGAGTACCCCAACACCTTCTGCCCCGTTTAGGGTTTAATAATAATAGTCCCCTGATATTTTATTAACTCATCTAACGATTCTCTTATTTTAGAAACATAAAGACAATCAGGTAAATATGGGAATAAAAGTATTGGGCCAAGGCTACAAAATGAAGGTGGGTGGGAGTGTATGATTGAAATGGGCCTAAAGTATTGGGCCGATGGAAGCCCACAAAACCCAGGGACAGCCTTAAGGATAAAGACAAGAATAGGGGCCCTGTTAAGGATCCCAACGTCACGAGAAAGGTAAGAATAGGCTTTTGCTTTTTGTAGTCACGAGCTCACGAACACGTGTTCAATCACATGCATAACCCAATCCCATTATAGTACTGCCAGCTGTCAAATAACCTGTGTTCCAAAAAATTCCCAAGAGTTAATGTGGCGCGTGGTTTCCACGAATTTGGAAGCGATTTAAATGAAGATTTTTCTTGTATTTAAACTTTTCTTTAGGTCAACGGTTCGTGTTAAAGATGAGCAACTTCATTAATTCAACCCTTGCTTGTTTGTTTTCTTTCTTCCGGAGGTACGAATTTATTTATACGCGTCTTTAACTAATTTTGTGAGCACTCAACTAAATCTTCCAAAATCTTAAAATTAATAATTAGATAAACTCCTCAATAATTACCGTTATCAAAGTTTATGAAAACAAAAACTCATTAAACCATTTTTTTTTTTTTTTTCTCTTTTACCAACAAACTATCCAATAATGATTAATTAAGTCACCGTCACAAATGTACATTTATTTTTTGTTTAATTACTATGTGTGGTATTCATTCATATAATTTAAATATATATTGTTTATAATAATTAGAGAGTTGCATTCGTGTGCGATTATTAAACATTTTCTCTTCTCCCCTGGACAAATCTTGTGTTACTGTTGAGTCGGCTGAGCCATCCATACGTGAATAAATTTCAATACAATCTGCAGTTTTTCCTGTGATCCTGTCCTCCCCCACCACAGAAACAAACATTCAACTCCTGCCGTTCCTGATTTCACAAGAGTAATTATGCATTCAGTAAAAGTTCATAACAATTCAAATTTGTCCTTTATCTACAACATATTTTACTGGGAAAGTACAAGCAAGCAACCCACCTGATAAAACAAATCCATAACATATTTTACTGCACTGGGAAAGAAAAGTATAAGCCAGCAATCCAGGTAAAACAAATTTCTTCATGGAGAAACTTTACCACAATTTCGAAAAAGCTATAGGTAGATTATTGACAATGCAACAAGAGATAAAGAAGTAATCGGAAAAGAACATAAATGGCTTAGCTGAGTAGGAATTTTTCATTGACCGCAGTTGCCCCTTCGACAAAAATGCCCTATCCAGCTCACATAGATTTGAACTATTTCAATTTTCATGCAACTAGCATAGACAAGACTATTCTCACCTTTGATGCAACACAATGGCTGCAAGTTTCTGGCTCAATTTGTCTTAAGACGGCATCACTACTAACCAAATGTGAATATAATTTAGACTTCCTAAATTTGAGTAGTCTCTTACCACGGCTGAAGAGGTGCTAACTCATCTTTTCTTTATGTATTTGCCATGTTAGGCCCACCATATATTGTCGAAAGCCCCCAAAAGCCTGCAAATTCAACAAATACATGACAAGAACAGTGTCACCAAATTTGAAGCACCATGATAAAGTTAAAAATTTATAGAGCCCATCATCATGTTACTATGCATTAGAAACAAGAACAGATTGGCATATAGCTTTTTATCAAATCACGAGATGCTCTACTAAATAAATAAAACAACTGAACATATGGATTCTGTCCATCACATCTTTGGACACTTCTCCATTTTTTGTTCAATTGGTGACAAAGCCATTAATGAGTGTTTACCTTTTAATGTATGACAGCAATAGACTCTATATGACATTATTGTATAACAGCAATAGGCTTTATTTGACATTGTCTCCTAGATGGCCATAAAAAGTTAATAAAAATTTGTCCCTTGAGTGAGAAGCATCTAGTGACTTTTTGATACGAAGAAACAACTTTTATGTGTAAAAAAAAAATCTCCCCAGTCGCTGCACATTCAACACATTAATTAACCAGAGCAAGCACCTGACTAGGAACTTGAGTTTTGTTTCAGGGGCAAGCAAATAAATTTTTTATTGGTACATATTCACCAGAAGCCAACAACCAGGATCAAAGTTTCAAGAGACAAAACCCAATTTCTAGGGAAAAGGTTATTAGGCTTCTTCTGTAACCAATTTGAGGAACCTGGGTGGTAAGGGGGCTTTTGGTGACACAATACAACCATGTTGAAAAGCAGAAATGAGGTAAATTACCATCAGATTAAGACAATTGGCACAAACATAAGATGACATCAACCTTGCATGGGGAGCCAACAAACAAGCTAACCTACCATATCTGTTGGGACCGGTAACTGACGTTCATCACGTTCTTTGCCAGCATCTTTTTGTTGACTTGTCCAGTGAGTCCATATAAGATTACTAATATGACAATTCTAGTTGAATGATCCTGGATTTTAACCAAGTGATGTAAGAAAGGCAAACCATGAATGAATACAATCCTTGTAACTATTGAAGAATGAGAATACATGTATATATTGTTTGGAAAATAAACCAATTTGAAGATAAACAAAAGAAAGTGGGCACAAATTTTTGCTTGTAGAATACGCTTAAGAACACAAAGTGCCAAGCAATATGAACAAAACATATCTAATCTGTTTCATGTCAAAGAAAAATTCAAGGGTTGTCTTCTTCTATCCAGTATCGGTCAAAGACGCAACTAACATTTTGAAAATCAGCAATATCTACACTCTATGGCCATGTTTTACTTATGTCTCAATACTAATTAAAACTTAATACCTTCATAGATACTTCTGGCCTCCTTCTTTATGGCAACATCAGCTTAAACCACATCTTTCTCATGTAAGAATTACTTTAGCAGCAAGTGAACAATTCCAAAATGCAACCAGTTAGCATCTTAACTTTCTTATCTGGCCACCCACATTACATAGATCTTTCACTCCACTCTATGTACATGTTTTAATGTCTATTCCATTACATTATAAACTACCAATCTTGAAATCCAATGTTTTGCATTATCTATTAATAATCATAGAGATATAAAACTTTCATCCAAAATTTCCTCAGGTATTTAAAAGTAATTTCTATTGAAATCAGTAAACAAATTTGTATACTCAACCTCATAAAATCTTTTCTTTGCCTATCTCAACCAGCAAATGTTGTTTTCCTTTCTCTCCTCCAGCTTTTCATTCTTGCACGCAACCATATAAAAAGCCGCCTCTTTATCACTGAATTCAATGGTCTTTGCTGCATATGGTCAAGTCTACAATAATGACCTTATTTGATCATCTTTTCAAATGGTAGTAGCATTTGGTTTTGCCCTACATTTTCTGATTGAAATTACCCTACTTTAAATTTCATTACACTATTGTGGAGATGATTTTTCTACTACCAACACAGTTGTAAACTAGCAAGTCTGGCCTTACCTCAATTTACATAACTTTTCCTTCAAATCCTTCAATTATATGGGAAATATCGTCTCCATTTCCCCACCATAGATAAATGACAAATTCCAAATAATAAACTGCCAAATTTACACATCTTATGCCCCCACAAATTTCTATATTCTTGAGATACTGAATCCAAGTACATAGAAGTTATACATATTCCCACCCTTGCTTATGAAAAAATCCATAATTGATTTGTGGCTTCAACTCTTTCTGGCTATACAGCATGTTATACTATTCTGGCATATATAGTAAGTTATGCCATACATATGGCTCACTGTGTATCCAGATCTTTGTGAAACACAAAATGATAAACTAGCATGTCCCCATCCATCACTAACATTTTTTACTTAACCATGCCTCAAAATTCAATTATGATCATTTCCATACCATTTCTCTACATCATTTGTTTTACATAATCATATAATTAACAAGCTAGCAGGTATATAGGCGATTAGTCAAGTCCTAACGTTAAAAATAAATAAATAAAAAAGATACAAAACAAAACAAAAGCCTTCATGCCTCTAATTCGTTGAAGTCTATATCATGGAAAAAAGAAACCAAACCATTCTGTTCACACAGCTGATATCAAGTTTGTAGTACTGCACCCCACCAACTCATGAAAGTTCAATTTACATGACAGAAAAAACAAAATCATCCATTATTGAATCCATGCTACCAATAAGATTAGGATCATCTAGTCATTGACCTCAGTATTAGCTTATTTTTACCCATTATCGCGTTTAAACAAGAATAAGAGCCTGCAATAACTCATTTCTATTCTTTCTGTCTTATCAAAGTTGTCACAAGTTGCTCTAACAGATAAAAAAAAATGCTGCATATATAATTTATTTAAGTTACATCTTTAAGAGTTGCGCATCGTTAAAACAAAGATAATTTTTTATCACCTTACAACAGGAGCAGGCCCAATATTACTTGTTTCCAGAAAGGAATTTACCTTTTCACTGCAAAGCATCTCCAGCTAAATCCTGCTATTTCTGGATCAACTGCTTTCTAAGAAGGCATTTCCCCACTTGTTCACTCTGCTGTTTCAATTCACATCGATGTCCAGCCTAAAATGGACAGAAGCAAAAAGAACCTTGGGTGAATACTTGCCTATGGCAATTAGTAACGCAGCCATCAAGGAAAAAAGACTAACTGACTTTTAAGCACAATATCCACTCTAGAAACTAATAATACTCAGGTTTGAATTTCAAGAATGCTAAAATAAAGTACAGTTGTGAGAATTTGTTAAAAATTACAGAAATTGGAAAAGAACATTCTACAAAGTTCACTTGTTTCAGAACCAAAAAAAGTGAAAGCCGCCCGAATTGAAAACTATATATTAAAAAGAACGAGAGTAAATAATGGGAATCCAGCACTACACTCCACCCAATTACTTCTTCTAGAAGGTCAAACTAATTTATGTGTGGATTTTACTAATTACTCAAAGTAACTAGCTCAACATAGCATCAACCTCATCATTTGTTTTCCTTTCTCTAATGGTAAGTGAATCATGAGTATAGTCTTAAAATTATTAGTCTTACAATTATGAAACAGATAATATTATGCTCACATGTAACACATGAACCCAAATTTTGATTATCACTAAACATAACTAAACCATTTTTCATTTATTAATTACACAAATCAAATAACATGATACTAGGAGTTAAGCTTCAAAAATACCCTTTACAACAAAACACATATAGAGTATGTGAAATCGATAACTCCTCTCCCACCAAAACTTATCAAAATGATCATATCATGACAGGCAGGAAGGAGAAAAATGAATGGAAACAGTACAGCGTAACATATATATTTAAGGTCATGAGAAGATGCCACCGCAAATCAGTTACAACTATAACACCTCATTACAGCAACAGTAGACAGATAGAGAGCAATGCAAATGCGTATTACAGAATGCAAAGGAAACCAGTAAATGCCATGACAATGTTATTATCGATTAATCAGGAAAACAGTTTCAATACAATTAATTGTGATAATAGTCTCAGTTATAGCTGAGTTTCTCTTCATATTGACTTAACCTTCGAACATTTTCTCGACTTGAACCAAATTATGAGTAAAAAAGCATAAATCTGCAAACTAATTAGTTAACATTATGACAACCCGCCTGCTCTTAGCGTAAGCCGCATCAAAAAATGTTATAAAACCGGTAACAGATGCATCAAAATACCATAATTTAAACTAACCAGAGTTTCCTCAAAACTAAATTATCTAAATCATCTAATGCCAATTTTTGCAATATGATTTCAAAAATCATGCAACGCTGAAGTAAAATAAATTATTGGTAGCAACTTCAATGCTACATAATTATATTGATTTGAAAAACTTTACGTGGTTAATCAACTCTTGTATATTGCAAATTCCAGGAAAAACTTTCGTACAATTAATTAAGTTAGCCAACTTGGGCCAATTTAACAGCAATAGAAGAAAAAAAAAAAAAAAAAAAACCCAACTAGTTTATCTGGACTGCCAGTATCCCTATGGCTGGCTAACAATCTGATAGATTATGAACATTCACAATAGGTTTTTTAAAATTGAGAAATTCTACATGAAACGCATTTTGTTTGTTAAAAGTGTAGATCCAAGTTGGCAAATGGCAACCGCACTGAAAATGAAAAGTTGATTTGAGATAAAGAGAAGAGACGAGTATTACTCACCGTAATCTCCCGTGAAACTGTTGATTGGTTAGTCCGGCGAAATCTGAGGAAGAGAGCGCCAGGAAACAGAGAGATCTTCGGAGCTTACTCATGAGAGTCCACTCAAAAGTAGCGCTTAATTGATTCGTTTTCATTTAAAACGCACGGTCTTGAGGTTTGACTGTTGACCACTTTTTGGCTTTTGCAGAAAATCCTTTTCCAAATTTCTTTTTATGTTCATTTATATTACGTAATAATTGGTTTTTTCTTATATTTTCTATTTTTATTTACAATTAATTGTTGTATTCAGATAAACTTCATAACAAGAGAAGATTATGATTTTAACCATAAGTTATCATTGATGTATAAATGTATGAGATTTTTAAATGTCCAATTAAAATAAAAGTTAGGGGTTACAAAATTATCTATCTATCTATTTAGGTGCACATAATTGTTTCATTATTTATGAGTTCGTGTTATTACATCTATTTTTAAACATGTTTATAAAGTTGTTTATTAATTAAATAAAGATAGATTAATAAACATTTCTCACAATTTTATCTCACAAATAGAATGGGATAGCTAACAATTAATCAGTTCATATTTGATCAAACGGAATCCATTATTAGACAAACAGAATTTATTGTAAACTGACACGTCGCATTTGTAAGAGAAAGTTAATAAGAAATGTTTGTCAGTATAATACTCCTCCTATTTACGTACCCTTATACGAGATTGAGTTGTTACATCAATGCTCACCCACAAGGAGCTTATGCTCTCTTGCTCACTATATAATTCTAATATAACCAGTGAATAAGAGTATACCACATCAAATCACGTGCTTATACTTGCTCTCGTGTTGAAAGAAAGATTATTATTTTTTTTCATAAATCAAGTAAATGAATTCAATAAGCCAAATAGAAATTGTGCTTCGCAAATACAATTGGATTAAGTAAATGCATGTTTAATATAAATCAAGCCGATAAGTCAAAATTTACTTGATCATTCAACTTTGAACAGCCATGAAAATTCTCATATACAACCCCACTTGGATATAGGAATTTTCTCACAAATCACTACCACTAGCATTCAAAAGCTATAAAACCCAGCAAAACAAAATGATTATCTCTTTCATCTAGAACTTATTGATCTCCATGAAAAGGGAGAAGAGCAACAGGGTTGATGGATTTGTGTGGTGCAAATCAAGAAATGAAGAATTATCACACACTTGGATAAATGCGGCATGCAGATGAAAGTGACAATCCGAGCCAAATTGCAAATGAGATGTAAAATCTTACACAATACACATTTATGATTATTACCACCGACAGTACACATTCTATCAATTCTTTTAAACAAGTAAAAACAACTTGAAAAATGGAGATATTAAATCCTAAAAGCTAACTACCAACTAAATAGATTTTGTCAAGTAGCTTCAGCTATTTGTGGTTCCAGTAACTTGCAGCTGCATCTTTGTCTATTTCTTTTAAAAGTGGCTTCTTGAATAAGAAGAAGTCACACCAATAACATTATATTATACCACATTATATAAATTACAAGCTAATTTCTTTGCAAAGATTTGAAATTTTTACCACTTGGAAGCACATATGGAGATGAAAATCACCAATGAGAATTGAGAACCCAGTTGCCATCCCAGGAAAAAGATCTACATCATGATATATTTGTCACGAAATACTGTATCAATTCTTGCATAAAAGTTTAAAAAAATTTAAGTTAACTACCAAGTAATTCTTGAGTCCAATAGCAACAAGTAATGGTGGTTCCAGGAATTTGCAGCTACATGATGTTGTCCATTTCAACAGCTTCAGGACAATCTACAATCTACACTCATTTGAGGCCAAAAAAAGAGAAGGAATTACGAGACAAGAGGCAGATAAAGCAATGGATATGAATTAAATGCATTGCATAGTGCATATAGAACAGGTTGTGATTTTGAGGTGTGAAAATATAAACAAAAAACCTTCAGAGACAAATCATGATAGAGAATCTTCCAAGCACTGCCTTCAACCTAACCAAGATAAGAGAAAATTTAAGAGAAAAAAAGATGTACAAAATTGAAAATTTTTGGAACAAAAGAAAATGGAATACAGGGTTAGAAACACCAGAAACAAGATATTTTTCCACTGGTACACTGCTTGGTTATTCTTCTGTCCTGTCAATATAGCAAGAAATGCAGGTGAATATTATTGCCTAATGGCATTTCAAGAAATCCAAACACCACAATGGAAAATACAAACTGATGGCTCGCTTTGCAGAAGCCTCCCACCCAGAAGGAACTGTCATCATCGATAGAGCAGTGTAAACTGTAGAATCAAACAACTGCCCATATATTTTACCTGGGGCTTCAACCCAAATACCCAAAACGATCAGCCAAAACATTCACATCTTCATCTTCACCTGCTTCAGAATTTGGAATATCTAATTCTCCTTCAAACCTCTCATTCAATAACTCTTCCCAAAATCCATCATCAAGTTCTCTATCACCACTCTCTGGTGCCTCTATATCTGCATTTCCATCCTCTTGCTCCCTCCTTGTTCTCCCATATCCTTGCATTTCCAATGCCAGTGCTTCCAGTTCAGACACCTGAAACCCGTATTCCCCAAATTCCAAGGGCTCAGCTTTGATGGGATTTGTCCCTTCACTACTACTACCAACTCCACTTGGTCCTTGATCAATTGGCCTTCTTCTTTTCTTAGTCATGGCTTCCTCAAGCTCCATCCTTTTCTGTTTTTGCTGCACTAACTGCTGTAGAAAGACAGGATTTTGCATTGCTCTAGCCAAGAAAGACATCATTTGTTGCTGCTTCTTTTCTGTGCCTTGTAGCCTTTGTTCTATGGCTTGAAGATAGGCTCTTGTATTCTGCTGCAGGTGTCTAAGTTTCGTTAATTCCATCATTAAAACCTGCTTGTCACGCACCAAACGATCAATCTCCCCGTCTAGTCCAAACCGCCCCACTTCAACACAAGGACCAAGCGCTTGCGGCGGAGGAAGCGGCTGAGATGTTGCCTTCCTCCTCTTGATGTTCCTCAAAAGTTGCTTCTGCTCCCTCAGAAATCCCTCATTTGCAAACTCCCACCTACCTGGATCAATCTTTCTGAATCCCTGCACCAAAACAAAATTTACATTCAGTAACTTATCAAAAAATTGAAAATGGGTCAGTGAAACTCAACTAAGAAAAAAATATTAACATGAATTCATGCATTTGATACAATAAAAAACAATATTATAAAAAACTCTTCTGATAATAAAATAATAGGATTTGATGACGAAGGCATGTGAGTTTCCAGAACCATCTTGAATTTTATTAAACTTACAGATAGGACATTGTGACAAGCCAGTGAGCATCCAAGTGTAGGCATTTCAAGAACCCATTTGGAATCCCCACTTGCTTGGTTAAAAAAATTAATTAAAAAATAAAATAAAACCATACATCCAAGAAGAAGGATTGGTGGATGAATTGAATTGAACAATGTTGATTCAAATCACAATAGGGAAGAAGAAAGCAAATTCGACTAAGAACTTCAAATTGCGGACTTACATAAGTGTTAAGCTGCCGGACAAAGCTGGAGAAGTTATTATGCTTGAAGTATCGAGGAAGAAGAGCAGTGGACAAGGCGTGAGGGTCCCAAACAACAAAGCTCCCACCGCCTCTGGTCCAAGAAACAATATGATTAGTATTCAAATCATCAACCATTTCATAAGTTTTAGTCAGAAATGGGGGTGGCCCCGTGTCGTGGAGGCCTTCCATTGGCTGCGGCGGAGCCATCACTCCCGATTGTGATGAACTCGATCCCAGGTACTCCTCTTTTACTATGTAATAAGGATTCATTTACCAATTTAGAAAAACAGAGGAAGGAACAGAAAGAAAGACAAACAGATTGATTGACTTTAGATTATAAAAGAAAAGAGAAAAGAAAAAAGGATATGATTAAAGGAGAATCAAGAAGAAAATCATAAAAGAGAAGTGTATATGTATAATAAAGAGCCGCGGTTTTGGTGGTGGTGCTGATGGGTTATGATGATTGTTACAAAGTGACACTCGAGATATTTTCTTTCTTTGTTCACATACGCCTCTGTTTTCTTCTTCCGGAAGGTCGTTTAAGCTGTTACTACAACAACAACTACCAACTAGGTAGCCCAATTCCATTACTCATGTAACACAAATCCAACGCTTCGAAATAACGACATTGAAGGGGTTAAATGGAAAGATTATGGGGGATTATTATTTTATAATAAGAAAATTAGAAAGTTCTAGAGGTGGGTTTTGGATTTTTGCATATTAGCCCCTTTCTTCATTTAGCAAGTTGTGGTCCTTGAGGAAAGTTCTGGAACTTGTGTGCGAGGGTAAGGAGGATTGAGATGATAGGAAATGATATGGCGGGAGGCATGGTGTGGAGCCCTAGAAATATTAAATTAGTGGTATTCATTGGTGTGATCATGTCCCCACTCATTATTGGTTGACATCTTCTTTATTTCAATGTAATTTTGACCTAAGTTAACATCATTTTTTTGCTACTAAGTAGAAGATATTTTTTCTTTTGCTTTGCTTGGTCGGTAGGGGGTAACCAGTTATAAACCTATCAAAGATGTCAAAAATTTATTATATAGTTTGGGGATTTATTTTATTTTGATAAAATTTAAGGTAGGTCTACCTCTTCACCCAATAAATCTTTGTTGAATGAGAGGATTACCCTCTCTTATAAACCAGTAGGTTTAAGCATGTTTAGTCGGTGTAGGGCTCCAACACGTCCTCTCATAGTCAAGCTCATATGTTAGGTCATGCATGTGAATAGAGATAGTTGTTTGACTCTAACTTTTTACCCGTTGGTCAAACACTTAGCTCAATTGGGCATAATTTTGATATTATAATAGAATTTTAGATGAGTCTGACTTCTCACCTAACAAAGTCTTATTGGATGAGAAGTCAAACCCACCTCAAATTTTATCATATTTACCATGTGAGATTTTAAACGCATTTGCCATTATTGAAAAATATTACATATTTCTCTTTTTTTTTTTTAAAAAAAAAATCATTTAATAAAAGTATCAAAAACTTTCTTGAACCTTAAAGAAGATGGTAAAAACTTTCTCACAATTTTATCTCACAAATAGAATGGGATAGCTAACAATTAATCAGTTCATATTTGATCAAACGGAATCCATTATTAGACAACACGAATTTATTGTAAACTGACACGTCGCATTTGTAAGAGAAAGTTAATAAGAAATGTTTGTCAGTATAATACTCCTCCTATTTACTTACCCTTATGAGATTGAGTTGTTACATCAATGCTCACCCACAAGGAGCTTATGCTCTCTTGCTCACTATATAATTCTAATATACCAGTGAATAAGAGTATACCACATCAAACACGTGCTTATACTTGCTCTCGTGTTGAAAAGATTATTTTTTTTTTCATAAATCAAGTAAATGAATTAATAAGCCAATAGAAATTGTGCTCGCAAATCAATTGGATTAAGTAAATGCATGTTTAATATAATCAAGCCGATAAGTCAAAATTTCTTGATCATTCAACTTTGAACAGCCTGAAAATTCTCATATACAACCCCACTTGGATATAGGAATTTTCTCACATCTACACTAGCATTCAAAAGCTATAAACCCAGCAAACAAATGATTGATATCTCTTTCATCTAAACTTATTGATCTCCATGAAAAGGGAGAAGAGCAACAGGGTTGATGGATTGTGTGGTGCAAATCAAGAAATGAAGAATTATCACACACTTGGATAATGCGGCATGCAGATGAAAGTGACAACCGAGCCAAATTGCAAATGAGTGTAAATCTTACACAATACATTAGTACCACGACAGTACATTCTATCAATTCTTTTAAACGTAAAAGCAACTTGAAAAATGGAGATTCAAATCCTAAAAGCTAACTACCAACTAATAGATTTTGTCAAGTAGCTTCAGCTATTGTGGTTCCAGACTTGCAGCTGCATCTTTGTCTATTTCTTTTAAAAGTGGTTCTTGAATAAGAAAGTCACACCAATAACATTATATTATACCACATTAATAAATTACAAGCTAATTTCTTTGCAAGATTTGAAATTTTTACCACTTGGAAGCACATATGGAGATGAAAATCACCAATGAGAATTGAGAACCCAGTTGCCATCCCGGAAAAAGATCTACATCAGATATATTTGTCACAAATACTGTATCAATTCTTGCATAAAAGTTTAAAAAAATTTAAGTTAACTACCAAGTAATTCTTGATCCAATAGCAACAAGTAATGGTGGTCCGGAATTTGCAGCTACATGATGTTTCCATTTCAACAGCTTCAGGACATCTACAATCTACACTCATTTGAGGCCAAAAAAGAGAAGAATTACGAGACACAGAGGCAGATAAAGCAATGGATATGAATTAAATGCATTGCATAGTGCATATAGAACAGGTTGTGATTTTGAGGTGTGAAAATATAAACAAAAACCTTCAGAGACAAATCATGATAGAGATCTTCCAACACTGCCTTCAACCTAACCAAGATAAGAGAAAATTTAAGAGAAAAAGATGTACAAATTGAAAATTTTTGGAACAAAAAAAATGGAATACAGGGTTAGAAAACACCAGAAACAAGATATTTTTCCACTGGTACACTGCTTGGTTATTCTTCTGTCCTGTCAATATAGCAAGAAATCCAGGTGAATATTATTGCCTATGGCATTTCAAGAAATCAAAACACCACATGGCAAATACAAACTGATGGCTCGCTTTGCAGAAGCCTCCTACCCGAAGGAACTGTCATCATCGATAGAGCAGTGTAAACTGTAGAATGTAACAACTGCCCATATATTTTACTTGGGGCTTCAACCCAAATACCCAAAACGATCAGCCAAAACATTCACATCTTCATCTTCACCTGCTTCAGAATTTGGAATATCTAATTCTCCTTCAAACCTCTCATTCAATAACTCTTCCCAAATCATCATCAAGTTCTCTATCACCACTCTCTGGTGCCTCTATATCTGCTGATTTCCATCCTCTTGCTCCCTCCTTGTTCTCCCATATCCTTGCATTTCCATGCCAGTGCTTCCAGTTCAGACACCTGCAATAACTCATTTCTATTCTTTCTGTCTTATCAAAGTTGTCACAAGTTGCTCTAACAGATAAAAAAAAATGCTGCATATATAATTTATTTAAGTTACATCTTTAAGAGTTGTGCATCGTTAAAACAAAGATAATTTTTTATCACCTTACAACAGGAGCAGGCCCAATATTACTTGTTTCCAGAAAGGAATTTACCTTTTCACTGCAAAGCATCTCCAGCTAAATCCTGCTATTTCTGGATCAACTGCTTTCTAAGAAGGCATTTCCCCACTTGTTCACTCTGCTGTTTCAATGCACATCGATGTCCAGCCTAAAATGGACAGAAGCAAAAAGAACCTTGGGTGAATACTTGCCTATGGCAATTAGTAACGCAGCCATCAAGGAAAAAAGACTAACTGACTTTTAAGCACAATATCCACTCTAGAAACTAATAATACTCAGGTTTGAATTTCAAGAATGCTAAAATAAAGTACAGTTGTGAGAATTTGTTAAAAATTACAGAAATTGGAAAAGAACATTCTACAAAGTTCACTTGTTTCAGAACCAAAAAAAGTGAAAGCCGCCCGAATTGAAAACTATATATTAAAAAGAACGAGAGTAAATAATGGGAATCCAGCACTACACTCCACCCAATTACTTCTTCTAGAAGGTCAAACTAATTTATGTGTGGATTTTACTAATTACTCAAAGTAACTAGCTCAACATAGCATCAACCTCATCATTTGTTTTCCTTTCTCTAATGGTAAGTGAATCATGAGTATAGTCTTAAAATTATTAGTCTTACAATTATGAAACAGATAATATTATGCTCACATGTAACACATGAACCCAAATTTTGATTATCACTAAACATAACTAAACCATTTTTCATTTATTAATTACACAAATCAAATAACATGATACTAGGAGTTAAGCTTCAAAAATACCCTTTACAACAAAACACATATAGAGTATGTGAAATCGATAACTCCTCTCCCACCAAAACTTATCAAAATGATCATATCATGACAGGCAGGAAGGAGAAAAATGAATGGAAACAGTACAGCGTAACATATATATTTAAGGTCATGAGAAGATGCCACCGCAAATCAGTTACAACTATAACACCTCATTACAGCAACAGTAGACAGATAGAGAGCAATGCAAATGCGTATTACAGAATGCAAAGGAAACCAGTAAATGCCATGACAATGTTATTATCGATTAATCAGGAAAACAGTTTCAATACAATTAATTGTGATAATAGTCTCAGTTATAGCTGAGTTTCTCTTCATATTGACTTAACCTTCGAACATTTTCTCGACTTGAACCAAATTATGAGTAAAAAAGCATAAATCTGCAAACTAATTAGTTAACATTATGACAACCCGCCTGCTCTTAGCGTAAGCCGCATCAAAAAATGTTATAAAACCGGTAACAGATGCATCAAAATACCATAATTTAAACTAACCAGAGTTTCCTCAAAACTAAATTATCTAAATCATCTAATGCCAATTTTTGCAATATGATTTCAAAAATCATGCAACGCTGAAGTAAAATAAATTATTGGTAGCAACTTCAATGCTACATAATTATATTGATTTGAAAAACTTTACGTGGTTAATCAACTCTTGTATATTGCAAATTCCAGGAAAAACTTTCGTACAATTAATTAAGTTAGCCAACTTGGGCCAATTTAACAGCAATAGAAGAAAAAAAAAAAAAAAAAAAACCCAACTAGTTTATCTGGACTGCCAGTATCCCTATGGCTGGCTAACAATCTGATAGATTATGAACATTCACAATAGGTTTTTTAAAATTGAGAAATTCTACATGAAACGCATTTTGTTTGTTAAAAGTGTAGATCCAAGTTGGCAAATGGCAACCGCACTGAAAATGAAAAGTTGATTTGAGATAAAGAGAAGAGACGAGTATTACTCACCGTAATCTCCCGTGAAACTGTTGATTGGTTAGTCCGGCGAAATCTGAGGAAGAGAGCGCCAGGAAACAGAGAGATCTTCGGAGCTTACTCATGAGAGTCCACTCAAAAGTAGCGCTTAATTGATTCGTTTTCATTTAAAACGCACGGTCTTGAGGTTTGACTGTTGACCACTTTTTGGCTTTTGCAGAAAATCCTTTCCCAAATTTCTTTTTATTTTCATTTATATTACCTCATAATTGGTTTTTTCTTATATTTTCTATTTTTATTTACAATTAATTGTTGTATTCAGATAAACTTCATAACAAGAGAAGATCATGATTTTAATCATAAGTTATCATTGATATAAAAATGTCTTTGAGATCTTTAAATGTCCAATTAAAATAAAAGTTTCGGGTTACAAAATTATCTATCTATTTAGGTGCACATAATTGTTTCATTATTTATGAGTTTAGAACATCGGTACATTTACACATGTTTATCAAATTGTTTATTAATTAAATAAAGATAGATTAACAAACAATACTCACAACTTTTTTCATAAACGCAACGTGACAGTTAACAATTAATTAGTTTATATTTGATCAAACGAAATCCATTGTTAGGTAAACAAAATCTATTACAAATTGACACGTTGCATTTATGAGAGAAAGTTAATAAGAAATGTTTGTCTGTATAATACTCCTCCTATTTACGTTACCCTTATACGAGATTGAGTTGTTACATCAATGCCCACCCACAAGGAGCTTATTGTCACGACCAGCTTGCTCACCGACTCAAGCACGTTACACGTTACTTACAGATTAAGTATACTTCAGGGTGAAGCAAACTTAAGGGCTAAGTTAACTTAATAGCTAAGTTAATGACTCAGCAGCTAGGCTAGGCGACTAAGGACCTTCGTTTCCAAGGTTGCGCCAATGCTCGCCACCCACGACGTTCGTTTCCAAGGTTGCACCAATGTTTGCCACCTAGGGTTTTCTTATGTAGCTTAGTCATATTCATTTGAGGAGCTTGAGCCTATAAATAGGCAACTCCACCATGTAAAGTTTCATAACTTGAATTCCATCAATACAAAGTTTATATTTTCTCTAAACTTCTCTCTCATTCGTATACTTTTAGCCTGTGAGTTTGTGTGAGCGTTAGGCTGCTTAACTCATTTCCGAAGGGTTAAGGCCGCACGAACTTAGCAAAGAAGTTAAGTGCGTGACAAGTGGTATTAGAGCCTCGGTTAGCATAACCTTGGTTTTCATTCAATGGCAAAAAATAGTGTCGCTTCAAAGGGAACCAAGACGGCGGAGATGGAGACTTCCCAAGAACATGGTCGTCCAGAGAAAGTCGACCCCAACCCCAACCCCTCAAGGCAGAGAGGTAAGTCCAAAGATTTTCTTTCCAGTTTTGACTCACGCTTATCTCGTGTAGAAGAAAGGGTGAGCACGCAGTTGGAGGATCTAGATCATCGAGTAGATGATCTAGAGTCGGAGGTTACTGAAACCCACACTGTCGTGAAATCTATGTTGTTTCAAATGGAAGAGTCACTAAGGACTGAAATGGGGAGAATCCGTGAGGAGTTCGTAGGGGAGCTTGCCAAGACCCGTCATGTGTTCCAAACCGAAATCAACAACACACTGGTTTGTTTAGACGAGGTGCAAGCCGATTTAGCGCGCCATGGTTGCAAGGACCGGCATCAACGTCATTGAAAGCCAAAGGATTGACGTCCCAAGGCCTAGAAGTTTTGATGGCTCACGCAAGGCACAAGAGGTTGACAACTTCTTGTGGGGACTAGACAAGTACTTCGGGGCCGTAGGCGTCACGGAGGAAAACTCGAGGATTGAAACTGCAGTCCTCTATCTCACAGACACCGCAAGGTTGTGGTGGAGGAGAAGAGAAGGAGACATCGAAAAAGGTATTTGCACTATCTCTACTTTTGATGATTTTAAGAGAGAACTTAAGCGACAGTTTTACCGGGAGAATGCCGAGGATGAGGCAAGAGCTCGCTTGCGAAGGATCAAGCAAACAGAGACGATCCGTGATTATATCAAGGACTTCACCGACTTGATACTGGAGATCCCGGAGATGTCCGACAAGGACTCGCTCTTCAATTTCATGGATGGATTGCAATCATAGGTGAAAACAGAGCTAAGGCGTCGGGGAGTGCAAGATCTTGCCACGGCCATAGCAGTTGCTGAAAGTTTGATTAACTATTCCACCCAAAAAGAATACACCGGCAAATCCAAAGATAAGAAGGGTAGCTTTGTTAAAGGTGCGGGAGACAAGGGGCAATCTAAGGAGAGCTATCGAGACACTCGCCAAGACTTCTCCTCATCCAAAGGTAAGGACAAGGGCAAACGTTGGGACAAGAGCTCTAACAAACCCCGCAACAACTGTTTCATTTGCAACGGGCCACATTGGGTGAAAGACTGTCCGGAGAAGAAAGTTCTTACTTCCCTCATAGCCAAGCATCAGGAGGGCAAGCAAGTCGAAAGCAGTAGTGATGGGGCACATATGGGATCAATGCAACTACTCAACGGGATTCAATCCGCACCAAAAATCGAAGCCAAAGGGTTACTCTATGTTGATATGGCCATCAATGGGAAGGCCACCAAAGCCATGGTAGATACAGGAGCTTCACATAACTTCATTTCAGTAAGTGAAGCACGTCGGCTAAGTATCAAGGCTTTAGGAGGTGGAGGCACCATCAAGGCAGTCAACTCAGAGGCACAACCGATACATGGAGTGGCTCGACATGTCAAAACCACAATGGGAACTTGGTCCGGCTACTTAGATTTCTCAGTTGCACCGATGGATGACTACCAAGTTGTCCTTGGCTTAGAGTTCATGGAACAAGTCAAGGCATTTCCCTTGCCATCAACCAACACCATGTGTATCATGGACGGGGAACAAGCTTGTGTGTTGCCCACTAGCCGCTCTATCAAGCCGAAGTCAGCAACACTCTCGGCAATGCAGTTCAAGAAAGGCATCAAGAGGAAAGAGGAAAGCTACTTGGCCATCCTTAAGCAATATGACGACGAGGAGCCAATCCCGCCAGAGGCAGTGCCCCGGGAGGTAGCACAAGTACTCGAGGAGTTTGTTGATGTCTCACCAAACAAGCTGCCAAAAGAACTACCACCTAGAAGGAAGGTAGACCAAAAGATTGAGCTAGAACTAGGCGCCAAGCCACCTGCCAAGGGTCCTTACCGTATGGCACCACCCGAGCTTGCGGAACTAAGGAGGCAGTTGTGGGAACTACTAGATGCAGGGTTCATCAAACCCTCCAAAGCTCCCTATGGCACACCAGTTTTGTTTCAAAGGAAGAAGGATGGTTCCTTGCGCATGTGCATAGACTACCGAGCACTCAACAAGGTATCTGTTAAAAATAGCTATCCTATTCCTTTGATTGTCGATCTTTTCGATCAGCTGGGGCATGCCCGCTACTTCACCAAACTGGATCTGCGGTCAGGTTACTATCAAGTACGCATAACCGAAGGCGACGAGCCAAAGACCACCTGTGTTACAAGGTATGGGTCTTATGAATTTTTGGTTATGCCATTTGGTCTAACAAATGCCCCAGCCACTTTTTGCACTTTGATGAATAAGATATTCCATCTGTACCTCAACCTTTTTGTGGTCGTCTATCTAGTCATCTAGACGACATAGTGGTGTATAACAAAACCTGGGAGGAGCACATGTGGCACCTCAGGGAAGTGTTCCAAGTCTTGCGGGACAACAAGCTGTATATTAAGAAAGAGAAATGTTCTTTTGCCAAGCCGGAGGTAATGTTCTTGGGTCACAAGATCAAGGATGGGCAGCTTATGATGGAGGATGGCAAAGTGCAGGCCATTCAAGAGTGGGAAACACCCACCAAAGTGCCAAAGTTACGATCCTTCCTTGGATTAGTAAACTACTACCGCCAGTTTATCAAAGGCTACTCGGCAAAGGCAGCCCCGTTGACAGACTTACTCAAGAAGAGCAAGCCATGGGACTGGTCTAATGAGTGTCAAGCCGCCTTTGAGGAATTGAAAGCTGCAATCAGCAAGGAGCCTGTACTTGCCTTGCCAGACCATACTCAGCCACATGAAGTGCACACCGACGCATCCGACTTTGCCATCGGGGGAGTACTCATGCAGAATAGGCATCCGATTGCTTACGAGAGTCGAAAGCTCAATGAGACCGAGCGGCGTTATACTATGCAAGAAAAGGAGATAACAACCATCATCCATTACCTTAGAGTATGGCGACACTACCTGCTTGGGTCTAAGTTTGTTACTTTGACAGATAACGTCGCAACGAGCTACTTTCAGACCCAAAAGAAGTTGAGTCCGAAGTAGGCACGATGGCAGGACTTTCTTGCCGAGTTTGATTATGTCTTGGAGTACAAGCCGGGCAAGACCAATGTGGTGGCAGATGCACTAAGCCGCAAGGCCGAGTTGGCGAGCATCAGTCAAGTCAAAAGCGCATTGGCTGACCGAATCAAGCAAGGACTCCAGCATGAGCCATTGGCTCGAAACATCATTGCCTTGGTAGAAGAAGGGAAAACTCGGAGGTTTTGGCTGACTGACGGCTTACTCTACACCAAAGGCAACCGCCTTTGCATCCCGAGATGGGATAATCTGAGGAAAGAATTGATCAAAGAGTGTCATGACTCCTTGTGGGCAGGCCATCCAGGTATGAGACGCACCCTTGCTCTCTTAAAATCTGCCTATTATTGGCCTGAGATGCAGGATAACATTGAGGGGTATGTGCGTACGTGCCTTGTTTGCCAACAAGACAAGGTAGTGCAACAACAACTGGCAGGCTTACTACAACCATTACCCGTGCCCGAGAGACCATAGGAGAGTGTCTCAATGGACTTCATCACATGTTTGCCAAAGTCCGAAGGGTCCGGGAGCATTATAGTCATTGTGGACAGGTTTAGCAAGTATGTCACCTTCATCCTCGCATCCACCGATTGCACAGCAGAAGAAACAGCCAAGCTTTTCTTTCGTAACATCATCAAGTTATGAGGCATTCCAACAAGCATAGTAAACGATCGAGATCCTCGGTTCACTGGGAGATTTTGGACAAAGTTATTCAAGATGCTAGGATCAAACCTAAACTTCTCGACTAGCTTTCATCCCCAAACTGATGGTCAAACCAAGCGCGTCAATGCACTGTTAGAGCTATATTTGTGGCACTATGTGAGCGCTAGCCCGCGGGATTGGACAAAGCTCCTTGACACAGCCCAATTCTCATTTAACTTGCAACGGAGCGAGGCAACCAACAAAAGTCCTTTCAAGATCATCATGGGACGACAACCGAACACACCTCTTTCCCTAGCCGTACGCTATGATGGGAAGAGCCCAGCAGCCTTTAGGTTAGCCAAGTCATGGCACGAACAAACTGAACTTGCTCGTGCAGCCCTACATAAGGCAGCGAAAAAAATGAAAAAGTGGGTCGACAAGAAAAGAAGGCACGTCGAGTTCCAAGAAGGTGATCTTGTTCCTGTAAAGCTACTGCCCCAGCAGTTCAAGACATTAAGGAAGGTGCAGAAAGGCCTCGTGCGCAAATATGAAGGGCCTTTTCAAGTGATACAACACATCGGCAAAGTTTCGTATTGACTCCAGCTTCCTCCGAAACTAAAGATACACCCGGTCTTCCATGTAAGCTTGTTGAAGCCATTCCATGAAGACCTGAAGAAGCCATCCCAAGGAGTCTCTAAACGAGCTCCAACAGCCGTTGTAATATCCTTTGATAAGGAGGTTGAAGAAATACTTGCCGACAGAGTTATTCGCCGACGTGGTGTGCCAAATTATTGGGAATACTTCATCAAATGAAAGGGACTTCCTGATGCCGAAGCCAGTTGGGAGACCGAAGACTCATTGTGACAATTCCAAGACTTAGTCCTGCGCTATAAAGATAATGCGACGAGGGCGTCGCAGCATTAGGTGCGGGAGAATGTCACAACCAGCTTGCTTACCGACTCAAGCATGCTGCACGTTGCTTACAGATTAAGTATACTTTAGGGTGAAGCAAACTTAAGGGCTAAGTTAACTTAATAGCTAAGTTAACGACTCAGCAACTAGGCTAGACGACTAAGCACCTCCGTTTCCAAGGTTGCGCCAATGCTCGCCACCTACGACCTTCGTTTCCAAGGCTGCATCAATGTTTGCCACCTAGGGTTTTCTTATGTAGCTTAGTCATATTCATTTGAGGAGCTTGAGCCTATAAATAGGCAACTCCACCATGTAAAGTTTCATAACTTGAATTCCACCAATACATAGTTTATATTTTCTCTAAACTTCTCTCTCATTCGTATATTTTTAGCCTGTAAGTTTGTGTGAGGGTTAGGCTGCTTAACTCATTTCCGAAGGGTTAAGGCTGCACGAACTTAGCAAAGAAGTTAAGTGCGTGACATTATGTTCTCTTGCTCACTATATAATTCTAATATTAACCAGTGAATAAGAGTATACCACATCAACACAAGTGCTTATACTTGCTCTCGTGTTTGAAAGAAAGATTTTTTTTTTTTTTTTTCATAAATCAAGTAAATGAATTCAGTAAGCCAAATAGAAATTGTGCTTCGCAAATACAATTGGATTAAGTACATGCATGTTTAACATAAATCAAGCCGATAAGTCAAAATTTACTTGATCATTCGACTTTGAACAGCCATGAAAATTCTCATATACAACCCCACTTGGATATAGGAATTTTCTCACAAATCACTAGCATTCAAAAGCTATAAAACCCAGCAAAACAAAATGATTATCTCTTTCATCTAGAACTTATTGATCTCCATGAAAAGGGAGAAGAGCAACAGGGTTGATGGATTCGTGTGGTGCAAATCAAGAAATGAAGAATTATCACACACTTGGATACATGCGGCATGCAGATGAAAGTGACAATCCGGGCCAAATTGCAAATGAGCTGTAAAATCTTACACAATACACATTTATGATTATTACCACCGACAGTACACATTCTATCAATTCTTTTAAACAAGTAAAAACAACTTGAAAAATGGAGATGTCAAATCCTAAAAGCTAACTACCAACTGAATAGATTTTGTCAAGTAGCTTCAGCTATTTGTGGTTCCAGCAACTTGCAGCTGCATCTTTGTCTATTTCTTTTAAAAGTGGTTTCTTGAATAAGAGGAAGTCATACCGATAACATTATATTATACCACATTAATAAATTACAAGCTAATTTCTTTGCGAAGATTTGAAAATTTTACCACTTGGAAGCACATATGGAGATGAAAATCACCAATGAGAATTGAGAACCCAGTTGCCATCCCAGGAAAAAGATCTACATCATGATATATTTGTCACCAAATACTGTATCAATTCTTGCATAAAAGTTTAAAAAAATTTAAGTTAACTACCAAGTAATTCTTGAGTCCAATAGCAACAAGTAATGATGGTTCCAGGAATTTGCAGCTACATGATGTTGTCCATTTCAACAGCTTCAGGACAATCTACAATCTACACTCATTTGAGGCCAAAAAAAGAGAAGGAATTACGAGACAAGAGGCAGATAAAGCAATGGATATGAATTAAATGCATTGCATAGTGCATATAGAACAGGTTGTGATTTTGAGGTGTGAAAATATAAACAAAAAACCTTCAGAGACAAATCATGATAGTGAATCTTCCAAGCACTGCCTTCAACCTAACCAAGATAAGAGAAAATTTAAGAGAAAAAAAGATGTACAAAATTGAAAATTTTTGGAACAAAAGAAAATGGAATACAGGGTTAGAAACACCAGAAACAAGATATTTTTCCACTGGTACACTGCTTGGTTATTCTTCTGTCCTGTCAATATAGCAAGAAATGCAGGTGAATATTATTGCCTAATGGCATTTCAAGAAATCCAAACACCACAATGGAAAATACAAACTGATGGCTCGCTTTGCAGAAGCCTCCCACCCAGAAGGAACTGTCATCATCGATAGAGCAGTGTAAACTGTAGAATCAAACAACTGCCCATATATTTTACCTGGGGCTTCAACCCAAATACCCAAAACGATCAGCCAAAACATTCACATCTTCATCTTCACCTGCTTCAGAATTTGGAATATCTAATTCTCCTTCAAACCTCTCATTCAATAACTCTTCCCAAAATCCATCATCAAGTTCTCTATCACCACTCTCTGGTGCCTCTATATCTGCATTTCCATCCTCTTGCTCCCTCCTTGTTCTCCCATATCCTTGCATTTCCAATGCCAGTGCTTCCAGTTCAGACACCTGAAACCCGTATTCCCCAAATTCCAAGGGCTCAGCTTTGATGGGATTTGTCCCTTCACTACTACTACCAACTCCACTTGGTCCTTGATCAATTGGCCTTCTTCTTTTCTTAGTCATGGCTTCCTCAAGCTCCATCCTTTTCTGTTTTTGCTGCACTAACTGCTGTAGAAAGACAGGATTTTGCATTGCTCTAGCCAAGAAAGACATCATTTGTTGCTGCTTCTTTTCTGTGCCTTGTAGCCTTTGTTCTATGGCTTGAAGATAGGCTCTTGTATTCTGCTGCAGGTGTCTAAGTTTCGTTAATTCCATCATTAAAACCTGCTTGTCACGCACCAAACGATCAATCTCCCCGTCTAGTCCAAACCGCCCCACTTCAACACAAGGACCAAGCGCTTGCGGCGGAGGAAGCGGCTGAGATGTTGCCTTCCTCCTCTTGATGTTCCTCAAAAGTTGCTTCTGCTCCCTCAGAAATCCCTCATTTGCAAACTCCCACCTACCTGGATCAATCTTTCTGAATCCCTGCACCAAAACAAAATTTACATTCAGTAACTTATCAAAAAATTGAAAATGGGTCAGTGAAACTCAACTAAGAAAAAAATATTAACATGAATTCATGCATTTGATACAATAAAAAACAATATTATAAAAAACTCTTCTGATAATAAAATAATAGGATTTGATGACGAAGGCATGTGAGTTTCCAGAACCATCTTGAATTTTATTAAACTTACAGATAGGACATTGTGACAAGCCAGTGAGCATCCAAGTGTAGGCATTTCAAGAACCCATTTGGAATCCCCACTTGCTTGGTTAAAAAAATTAATTAAAAAATAAAATAAAACCATACATCCAAGAAGAAGGATTGGTGGATGAATTGAATTGAACAATGTTGATTCAAATCACAATAGGGAAGAAGAAAGCAAATTCGACTAAGAACTTCAAATTGCGGACTTACATAAGTGTTAAGCTGCCGGACAAAGCTGGAGAAGTTATTATGCTTGAAGTATCGAGGAAGAAGAGCAGTGGACAAGGCGTGAGGGTCCCAAACAACAAAGCTCCCACCGCCTCTGGTCCAAGAAACAATATGATTAGTATTCAAATCATCAACCATTTCATAAGTTTTAGTCAGAAATGGGGGTGGCCCCGTGTCGTGGAGGCCTTCCATTGGCTGCGGCGGAGCCATCACTCCCGATTGTGATGAACTCGATCCCAGGTACTCCTCTTTTACTATGTAATAAGGATTCATTTACCAATTTAGAAAAACAGAGGAAGGAACAGAAAGAAAGACAAACAGATTGATTGACTTTAGATTATAAAAGAAAAGAGAAAAGAAAAAAGGATATGATTAAAGGAGAATCAAGAAGAAAATCATAAAAGAGAAGTGTATATGTATAATAAAGAGCCGCGGTTTTGGTGGTGGTGCTGATGGGTTATGATGATTGTTACAAAGTGACACTCGAGATATTTTCTTTCTTTGTTCACATACGCCTCTGTTTTCTTCTTCCGGAAGGTCGTTTAAGCTGTTACTACAACAACAACTACCAACTAGGTAGCCCAATTCCATTACTCATGTAACACAAATCCAACGCTTCGAAATAACGACATTGAAGGGGTTAAATGGAAAGATTATGGGGGATTATTATTTTATAATAAGAAAATTAGAAAGTTCTAGAGGTGGGTTTTGGATTTTTGCATATTAGCCCCCTTCTTCATTTAGCAAGTTGTGGTCCTTAAGGAAAGTTCTGGAACTTGTATGCGAGGGTAAGGAGGATTAAGATGATAGGAAATGATATGGCGGGAGGCATGGTGTGGAGCCCTAGAAATATTAAATTAGTGGTATTGGACTATTGGTAGCCACACTCTTTTTATAAATATAATTTTCATTGGTGTGATCATGTCCCCACTCATTATTGGTTGACATTTTTTTTATTTCAATGTAATTTTGACCTAAATCAACATAATTTTTTTGCTACTAAGTAGAAGATATTTTTTTCTTTTGCTTTGCTTGGTCGGTAGGGGGTAACCAATTATAAACCTATCAAAGATGTAAAAAATTTATTATATAGTTTGGGGATTTGTTGAATGGGAGGATTATCCTCTCTTATAAACCAGTAGGCTTAAGCATGCCTAATCAGTATAGAGCTCTAACACTTTCTCTCAATGTCAAGCTCATATGTTGGGCCATGCCTGTTAATAGAGGTAATTATTTGATTCTAATTTTTCATCCGCTGGTCGAATACTTAGCTCAACTGAGCCTAATTTTGATACCATAATAGAATTTTAGGTGGGGCTGACTTCTCACCTAACAAAGTCTTATTCGATGAGAATTCAGATTTACCTCAAATTTTATCATATTTACTGTGCGAGATTTTATACGCATTTGCCATTATTGAAAAATATTACATATTTATCTTTTTTTTTTAAAAAAAAAATCATTTAATAAAAGTATCAAAAACTTTTTTAAAAACACCAAAAAAAAAAAAAAACCTTTTCAAAATATTATATATATATATTATTTTTTGCTATTAATAGACAAAATTTACAGATTCTTCCGCCTATTGCAATGTTAAAAAACTAGGTACCATTGATATTTGTAATATTTAAAAATTTATTTATTATAATTACTTTTAGATCAAAAGCTATAAAATGTTTGAAATTATTTTCGGATTTTACATCAAATTTAAGGGTTGTATTGAAAAACTATCCTATAAAAACATTTAAAATTATACCCAAAAAAAAAAAAAACTGTAGTTAAATCGTTAATTATTCTAACAAGATTTAAACACGCATCTTTAAAATTAAAATTAAAATTAGTCAAATGCTTACCACATTTGGTTACCGTGCAGCAGTTCTAAGACCACTAAAAGTCTAAAAATTAGTCAAATGTTACCCAATTTAACCGTGACGAATGCATTTTAAAAATTTAAAGGTAACGTGGCATCGCCGCCCAGTTGACACGTACTTATCTCTATCTTACTGAAATAAACGTACTAGGCACTCGTGTTAAATTATTATCAAGTGGCGTCACTTGATTAGTTGATTGGTACTTTGGCGGGTGCATTATTTGGCAAGTTGCATTATTTAAATCCAAAAAATAATTATTTTATTATGATAATAAAATATTATAAAAGGGAAAAGAAGAAAAAATAATTCTTTTAGAAGCTTCTACAATATTCCCAATGATGAATTTCCGAAATTAACCCTCACTTTTTGCTAATTATCTTTTGGTTTTCGGTATGAATCTTGGAGATAATAAAAACAATTTCAAATATTTTAGGGTTTTTATTATTTATCCTCTTTAGAGATAGCTAATATTACCTGAATTTTGGGAAAATATTAAATATCCTTTTGCCATTGATTAAGTGCAAGTTAATGGAATTGGATAGCGTTAGGGCTCAAGAGTGGTTTTTGACAATTTCCCACAAAAGTGCCATCAGTTTGTCAACGGCAAAAAGTGAGGGGTAGTTTCTGAAATTCTCCCATATTCCCCGCCACCCTATTGGTTAATTTTTCTAGCAAACCATAATTGTCTGAACTTACTAAAGAATATTTCCATGCTTTGCATTGCCCGCGTGTATGAGAGAGAGAGAGAGCCAAAACTAGATATTTATCGATCATATTTAATTAATTAGTTTTATCAAATTATTTTGTGACGTGTCATCTAGTCAAGATCTCGTATTTTGTGATAGTAGGAATCTAAAAAGAAGTTTGAATCCAATCCTAGGTTAGGTTCGGCATTCTTACACCACGTGGACGCCATCTCAGTTTGCTCATGCGCCTAATTTTGAAAGTACAAAGTGCGTGGCATTTTCTGATTGGTCAACGAAGGCGGGAAATTCATACGCAGAATACAAAATCATACTACAAGGAGCGGATTGACAAAGAAGAGCTTTCTGTTTGGTTGGTAGGGAGAAAAGTTGCAGAAGAAGAGAAAATTATTGATTTCTTTTTAATTAAATATTGATTAATGAAGAGATATTTTGTTAATTATGAATTAAAGACATTGCCTTACCTAAAAATACTTAATCATTCAATCGCTTTGTTCAATCTCATGTGTGAACAAATCGAATCTCAGCTCACTAATCCAAAATATCAAGCCTAAAAATCAAATAATTAAAGTAAATAAAAAAACTACTATGTGGCAAGCAGGTGGGATGTCACGTGTTTTGTCTAGCTTACAGCAACTAAGCAAAATGGGCAAATTCTAGATCAACAAGTGGGATTAATTTATTGTGTATTCCGTGGCAATTGTTATTTAAATAATAAATTTATTATTTGTTTAATTAAGCAAGCTAATATTATATTATATATTGTTGCATCAAAAGCACCACCCCGAGGGATTAAAAAATTAAAAATATCAAGATATTATCCAAAACAAAACCTTCTACAACATTCGCGAAACTACTGAAGATGAAGATCTATGGCAAATAAAATAAAAAATAATTAATTTAAAGTTGCTTAATTAAACGAGGCATAATGAAGGTTTAAGAGAGGAATTAATTAAGGTAATTAAGTTAATTATGTCGAGGATTTGGAGACAGGTAAATTAGGCGAATAGGTGGATATTTTGAATCCCAGGTTTGGTGTTGTTGGGTCAGGGATGAATGAAATGGCCCACAGCCCATTCCTTTTTATAGGTTCAAAGTGTGTGCGTGTCAATAGCTAAAGTGATTGCCAGTGCCAAATTGAATCGAAAAGACGACGACACTTCTTATTAATTATTATTAATAAAATACACGAAGTGGAAACTTCTCTTGTATTAAATTATTTAATTACCAAGTTTCTACATTGTTCTGATGTGTACACTGCAGTAGTACATTGATTTTAATTTATAATATATGGTTTCTTCTTACGATGCAGGTGAGCAACCCTATGGATATTATCCAAATACTAGGAACAGTTCATGGGGCATTGAAAAAGAAGTTCTTATTTGTTTTACAATAAGCTTCTACATTGTTCTATAATTTGTGTTTATTGCTTCTGGAAGAACATTTTATTTATAATCGATATTTTTGTATCGTTTCATTCGGCCCAGTTCCATTACATATCATACGAAAAGTCCAAAACAACCAATAATAACCCAAACCGTCCCATTGACACAAATTGGAGCCCAAACAGGCCCAGCAATCTTATTGGTTACAACATGATCACATGGATCGAACAAACTCATAATTAAACAATAAATTCAATGAAAAGGTAGTTTAATGCAAAACAGATTTAATGGAGACAAAATGGACGATTACGTCAGATTTTGGAGTTAACTTGTCCTAGGTTCCATATTACATTATTTTAGAGACAACCATGATTCCATCTAAGAAACATCATGATTAGTGTCATAGACCTAGAGAAATCATGTACAAAGAGGTTTGCTCTAAGTAAACTTGAAAACATGCACTCAAGAAATAAAGAACTCAAAAGAGCTAAAGATGGAGAGAATACTTCTTTTGCATTCCTATTACCGTCAAAAGAATACAAAGAACAAATCAAATGAATTAACTAACTATTTATGCATGTTTATAAATAGATTCGACGGTCTAAATTCATACATATTTAATAAGAGGGATGACTATTGACTCAATAAGGAGACATATATGAGAACTGATTTGATAAATGTCTTTGGTGAAATAATTTTATAAAAAGATTTCACTAGATATTTTCCGGGTCTAAACCTTTGACCATGGATTTGGCCAATGGATCTACGAATTTGACTTGGATGTAATATTAGAAAGACATTAATTAAGTATTTTTTATTATTATTTGAATACCTAAAACTTAACACGGATAAATTTTCATTATTTCCGAAACCTTAAAAGAGAATTTTGTTATTTAATCGTAACTCAAGGAGATTAATATTGTTAACTCTGATTTAATTAATATCTTAAATGAACTCTCAAGTTTACAAATACTGAGGAGATCCCCATATTTTGGAAAATGACACATACACTCCTAAATTGAGGGTGCCAATTAAAAACCCCGGGAAATGCTTAGGAAGATTCCAGTTTCACTGAATTACTCGATTATCTCAACTATTTCCCCTTTCCGCTGACCTGGCAATATTCAAAATAGCGCCAAAGTATCAATCCCGGAGCGCGCTTTAACTGTTCATGTCTCGGTCTACTGTTATTTCAATTTCTTGTAATTCTGTGAGATGAAAATTAAGGAAATCAGTCAAACATGAGGACACTTGTATTCAAATCGAAGCTGTCCGTTTTAGGGCTTATTATTTCGATTGTTGCATACGTAACGACGCGTTCTAGCGGAGAATCGTCGACGTGTTTGACAGTGTACAAAGAAGGCGGTGCACCGGCGGTGTTTCAATCCCCAAAATGCCCTCGCTGGAAGCTTCCAAATTACGATTCCCGACCACGTACCACCCATCGTTGTCAATCGGCTATGCTTCTTGGCCGAAGAAAATCTCAGGAGGATCGCACTCTCTGTGCTCTCGACCTTCACATTCCCTTCCCTGGTTACGCAACTCTCTCTCTCTCTCTCTCTCCATATATACATGTGTTTGCATATAATTATGTTTTAGTAATTATGTGCTGTGAATTGGTGTTATAGTTTGAGTTGGAAGGCAATAACCTGTGATACAATATGATTAGTATGATGAAATTGGGATATTTGCTTCTTACTGAATTTTAGTATTTGATATATGGAAGAGCATTGGGATGTCCATTTTAAAGAAAAGCTTAAACAAGATTGACATGTAATATAATTTCTGCATTAAACCTAGTGAAATGACGCCTAGTTAAATGTTAGGAAAGATATATATATTGGAAGGAGAAAAAGAAAAAAATATTAGGACTGGGGTTTTAAACATATGCCATACTATTTTCAAAACTCTAATTGTGTGCTGCTCAGAAGATGAGAAGAAATACAAGTGGGGATTTGGGCTGTCGTATTTATTAGTTTGATGAATATAGAAGTTTATATATTACTGTGATTTACCTTTACTATCATAGAAGTGGCTGCTGAAATACGTAGAATTTGACATGGAAGCAGGTCTTGCAGGGGTTAAGGAGGTTACTGTTGGAATTGTGGCAGTTTTTGATGGCCATAATGGTGCTGAAGCTAGTGAGATGGCTTCCAAGCTTTTATTGGAGTATTTTGCTTTGCATACATATTTTCTTTTGGATGCTACATATTCTGTTGTATTGAAGAAATCAACCGGAAGGTTGCCGATTAAGGGGGAATTGGATATTGTTTCTCAAGTGCTTAATTGGGATGAAGAACTGGGTCGGCATAAACTGAACTTTGAAAGGTGCTTTTATATATGCATTCATGCTGCCATTATTGTTTCTATTACTTGTTTTATATTAAAGGGATGCTATTGTTTAGCTTCATCTTGTCCTTTAATATCTTTTTTATTTTACTGCATTTAGTATTATTATCCTTGGGGATATATGCTACTCATGTGAATGCTTTCACAGGTTTAAGGTCTCTTTTCCTGCAAATTTCGATGATTCTTTTCACTTGGAAATTTTAAAAGAAGCATTGTTGAGGGCAATCCATGATATTGATGCGGCATTTTCTAAGGCAAGTTGGTTGATGTTTCTTGGCTTAAAATTTGGTGCATTGCATATTTTTCTCTTATGCTGATAAGTGCATTGCATCTTTTTCTCTTATGTTGATATTTTATTGTATTGGCCATGAAGGAAGCATCCAGAAAGAATCTTGATTCGGGCTCTACAGCCACAGTTGTGCTAATAGTGGAGGGCCAAATTTTAGCTGCCAATGTTGGAGATTCAAAAGCTCTTTTGTGCTCTGAAAAATTTCGGTCACCTGGGGAGGCTAAAGGTTATAATTTGATTAGAATAGTGAATGATCTATTTTGAACTTCTGTTCATCTTATCATGTTATTTCATGCCCTATTGTGGAGTATGATTGACCATAGCATAGATCCCTTTGTCATATTAACAGAAACACGGTGAAGGTATTCATGCCATGGTACTTGACTTTGCAGCTACTTTATTAAGGTTATACAGGGAGCAAAGACGTAATGGTGTTTCACGATCAAGAGATCATAATAACTTTAAATTCCCAACCACCAATGGACTGGCTCATTTTACTGTCAAGGAATTGACTAGAGATCATCATCCTGATAGAGATGATGAAAGGTTCCGAGTGGAAGCTGCTGGTGGTTATGTTCTGGAGTGGGGTGGTGTGCCACGAGTAAATGGTCGGCTGGCTGTTTCTCGAGCTATTGGTGATTTGTCTTATAAAAGGTGAGGTTCAAAACCACCAGAAAATATGTGGATATGGTATTTCCCCTTTTTTCTTCTATTGACTATTTTAAATAAGGTATGCTAATTTTATCTAGGACCCTGAAATTGGATTCAGAACTATTTACATTGTTAGACTGTAATCAATTTTTGTTTGGATTATCTTCAGTTATGGTGTTATATCTGCACCAGAGGTAACAGATTGGCAATCTCTGACCGAGAATGATAGCTATTTGGTAGCTGCATCTGATGGTGTGTTTGAGAAGCTGAGCTTGCAAGATATTTGTGATATACTGTGGGAATTGCACACTGATGGTATCGTTGGACCAGGACTCTCTTCTTCATGCTCATACTCATTAGCTGACTGCTTAGTAAACTCTGCCTTTGAAAAGGGCACCATGGACAATATGGCAGCCGTTGTGGTTCCACTAGGATCTACTTATGTTTCTCAAAACCAGTTGAGAGAAACGTGTATAGAAGAGGGAGACATAGATTGCCCTACCAAAGAACTACAGAAGTCCATTTATAAACTGTCAGGTAAGTCGCTTTGCTCATAGATTTTCTGATAGATGATAATATATGCTGCATGGGTAATGGATCAATATTAGTTTGTGAGAACCCATCGTATTTATGAATAATGACTTGTGGCCGTACAATTGATCACCTGCCATTATACTTTGATCTTAATTAAATTTGCTATAAATGGGTGCCGCAGGGCGCTGGCACTCATATGTTGTTGGACCCACTGCCTTCACAACATAAGGGTCATAAATATTAGTGCTTAAATGCCTCATATTTCCATGAAGTATGAATGTGAATCTTCCTACTGCTCTTATGTCTACAATAAACAACTAAACCAAAGCCTCTGGGCTGATCTTCTGCTGACCTGGTTTATTGGTTCCTCAAAACAGCTATATTAAGTGAAGGGAAAACTGTCACCATCTTTTTAGTGCATACCCTGTATCTATTATAATACCATATTTCTCATTGGTCTTATCTGATGAATGCTTATATATGTTCAACTCTTGTCCATGTTAGGCTTGCACTTGTCTCACTATAGTATCTCTCCTGTAGCTGTATGCATTATTTATTCCTCAATATTCTGTTAGACACTCAAGTTTTTGTCAAATTCCAATGATAGTGTGACTTTAGTGGACATTGGTAATTCCAAAATGTAAATGGTATGTTATGAGCATTGTACATGTTGAAGGGTTAGCTATCTTTTAATTTTTACATCTGAATTGTGTGTACTGATTTTAATGATTGTGTGTTTACTAATTAGCTGATTTTGCTGTTGTCACCATGATCAGATAATGACAAAGCTATTGACCTGGTACAGTTGAAACATGCTCATCCACTTACGACCAAATTTGACAGGTTATTGGTAAGGCTGGAAGACAAAGATTTTTATTTTTCTTCATATTTGCGTAAAGCTAATTCCTTGTTATGTGAATTTGGTTCCTTTATCTGTTAGGTGAATAGAAACGTGCCGGGTAACTTGTTTTCAGGCAATTTGCACTTAACTAGAAATAATATGGAGATGTTTTATTTGTTTTTCACTTGTTAAATGGATAACTTATGCTGCTTAAAGAAAAAGGACCTGAAAGAGATTCCTGGAATATAAAAATTATAAGGTGGCTGGTCTTGACAGCAGTTATGCGTCTTGGTGAGCTATGATATTTTATGATGCCAACGATAGTGCATAAATGATAAGAAAAAGGAAATAGCAAACTAAGATATCTTGCTGGTTGTTCTATTCTTTTCCCAATCAAGGTTTCTTCTCATTGCCAATTGAATTATTGGCAGAGGTAGATTTCCATTTTTTCTTAATTTTCCAAATACTTGATCTTATTTATTTGAAATTACTCTTGGAAAAGATTATTTTAACTGAATCCCACCCTGCCAAAATATCAATTTTGTTGATTATTTTGGGATTTGAATACCTGAGTTTTTCTGGTACATTTAATTTACATTATAACTGTGACCATTAACAAAATCTGAAAAACTGATTGCTTGAATTTATTTTATTTGGTTTACTTTTCTATCAACTTTAGCAATTGAGGCTGAACAGTTTTCCAATGACAGGTTTATAATAAAGGGCTATGTGACCATCAATACAGGGAAAATTTGTATAACTGATGGATTGTTTTCCTTCCTCTAGGTTGCAGGAAAACGTGGAAGATTTAACTGTTTTTATTTATCTGAAAACCTTGATGAAAATGTCGATAGCAAACTGGGGGCTCAAAAGGATGGACAAGAAGATCATGTGTATGACTTTTCACAGGCTCTACCCAACAGCCTTGACCATCGTTCTGGTAAGTGAAGTTGTGTTTGTGGATGGATGCTGTACTATTTTTGACACACTGAGACATACATGAACCTCTGCATATCTGGATCGAAAGTCAATTAACTTCCTCCAATAATGTTTTGTGAATTAGTTGTATTATATAGCAACACACACGCACATGCGTGTGTGATGTAGAGAGAATAGGATAATTTCTAGGATTGAGTTGTCTTAGTTAAATTAAACTTTTATTTCAATTTTTTATTAGGATTAGGATTATCAAACTATTGTTTCATTAAAATTAGGATTATTCAAATTATATTTTGATTAGGATTTAATTTTTTTAAGCCTATAAATAAAGGCTTCTTTCATTATTGTTTTTACGCATGGTTATTTGACATGGAATAAGATATTGGTTCTCTTCCTAAGGATTGTTTCTTCCCTTAATTTATTTAGAATTTCTCCCTTTCTCTTGCTATTCTCGCTAGTCTATCCTCTTATTCTCTATTCTTTACCTAATTCTCCTTCTGCCCTTCTATCAATTGGTATCAAAATAAGTTCTGATTTCTTCTTAAAAGCTTTCCTATCAAAACTCTATAATCAATCAAAACCCTAGATTTTCTCAAAACATATAAAAAAACCCTAATTTCTCCCATCCAAAATCCTTTTAAAAAATCAGAAAGCACAAAAACCCCAGGCTTCAACCGTTAGAACTATGTCAAACCACTGCCCCATGTGCCACCACCTATTATTACGCACCTTTGTCACAACCACCACGTTGGCTTCCTCCCTTGCTGATTACAACCTTCCCTAATGAATTGAGTTCAAAACCCTATCGGAAAGTCCCCTATGCACCACTCAAAGTTTAGTCACTGTTGGCTTTCTAGATCTTGTCCATTGCCCGAGTGAGTTTTTCCGCCCATCCCAAAAGATTCCCTGGTTGCCGATCTATCCATCAACAATTCTTTGGCTTCCTTCCAACGCCACGTGTTACACACCCTATTACAAATCAAATTGCATATTAACTCTTTAGATCTCTGTTTATATTCTTCAACCCCTTCATGTTTAAAATATTTTTAGTTTAATCATGTTTGTGCTAGGGGTGTAAACGAGTCGAGTTGAGCCGAGCTTCGACTTTTTGAACTCGGCTTGGCTACTATAGCGTTGAGCTCGAGCTCAAGCTTAAGCTCGGTCGAGCTTAACATGTCGGGCTTGAGCTCGATTGAAGCTCGCTTTGTCAAGGTCAAGTCGAGCTCAATTCCTCTCAAATTCCAATAAAAATAACCCAAGCACATTAGATCAAAGTACAAAAGTTAAAAGAAAAGAAGAAATATGCAGTAAGTTGCAATCTGACATCCCTGTTTCTTCCAGAATATCTAGTGTATACTTTCTTTGAGAGATAACAATACCAGAGCTGGATTGAGCAACTTCTATACCAAGGAAGTATCTAAGTAACCTCAAATCTTTGGTTTGAAAGTGGCTAAACAAGTGTTTCTTCAACTGCTCAATACAATCTTGATCACTTCTTGTAATGACAATATTATCGACATAGACAACTAGATAGATGCATTGCTCTGGTGATGTATATTTATAGAAAACCGAATGATCAAACTCACACCGCACCATACCAAACTCTTGGATGACAGTACTGGAACGTCCAAACCAGGCAGTAGGAGATTGCTTCAAGCCATACAGTGAGCGATGAAGTTTACAGACTAAGGCAGACTCCCCTTGAGCAACAAAACTGAGCGATTGCTTCATAAATATCTCTTCCTGAAGCTCACCATGCAGAAATGCATTCTTAATGCCCAATTAGAACAGAGGCCATTATCGGATGGCAGCCATAGATAAGAACAAGTAGACATAAGACATCTTCGCCACAAGAGAAAAAGTGTCATAATAATTCAACCCATAAGTCTGAGTGTATCCTTTGGCTACCAAACAAGCCTTCAAGCGATCAACCTGCTCATCTAGACTAACTTTGACAATATAAATCCAACAACAACCAACAGTCGACCACCCTGGAGGCAAATGAATTAATTCCCAAGTGTTATTATTATGCAAAGCAGTCATCTCTTTAACCATTGTCTGACGCCACCCGAGATCGGTCAACGTCTCATGAATATTGGAAGGAACAGACACAGACAAAATAGTGGACACAAAAGCAAAATATGGTGAAGATAATCGATGATAACTAAGAAAATTATAAATTGGATGAGGGTTACGAGTGGATCGCATACTTTACGAATGACAATGGGAAACTGATGATCAGAAGGTAGGACTGCAGCATGAGAGGAATCTGGAGTAGGACCTGTAATAGGAGCCTTAGGAATAGGGTCAGGGATAATGTCAGTACCTGTAAGAGGAATAAGAGCATCATCTACAGGGGGGGACTCTCCTTTAGGTGAAGAACATTATGAGACAGGGATAGACTCAGATGACTAACCAGAAAGAGGAGCAATGTAAGGTATGGAGAGGACCTCAGTTATAGAGGCACAGTCTAGTGGAGATGAAGAGAAGAAATGAGAAGACTAAAAAAACGTAACATCAGCAGATATGAAATATCGATTTGGTGTGGGAGAGTAATACTTATAACCTTTTTGAAGACGCAAGTAACCCAGGAAAATACATTTGGTAGACTTGGCAGACATTTTATCCTGACCAGGGGAGAAGACATGGATAAAACAGGTGCAACCAAAGAAACAGGGAGGAAGAGAGAATAAAGACTGGTCAAGAAACAAAATAGAATGAGGTACCTTGTTTTGTAGGACAGAAGAAGACATCCGATTGATCAAGAAACAAGTAGTCAGCACAACGTTTGCCTAAAACTGGAAAGGAACCTGATTGTGTATAAACAAAGTGCGGGCAGTTTCAATGAGATGTCTATTCTTACGCTTAGTAACCCCATTTTGTTGTGGGGTATAAGCACAAGATGACTGATGGAGGATTCCTTGGGAGGACATGAATTTTGTAAAGGGGGGCAGAAAAGTATTCACGAACAATATCACTCCGCAACACACGAATAATAGTATTAAATTGAGTCTTAATTTCAGCACAAGGGATTCAAATATGGAAAATAATTCAGAACGAGTTTTCATTAAAAATAACCAGGTGCAACGAGAATAATCATCAATAAATGTAACAAAATATTGAAATCCCAAGATAGACGAAACACAACAAAAACCCCACACATCTAAATGAACTAACTCAAAAGGGGACGTTGCCTGTTTATTGATATGCTTAGGAAGTGAACTGCGAGAATGTTTCCCAAGTTGACGCGACTCACAATTGAAAGATGATAAATTAGATAAACCTCGAATCATCTTCTGAAGCTTCAATAAACTAGGATGGCCCAAACGATTATGAAGGAGAACCGGAGATTCGAAACAGTGCATGCTATAGGGGCAGAATGTAAATTGAGATGGTAGAGGCCCTGTGACTCATATCCTGCACCAATTATCCGTCCCATATCTTGGTCTTGTATAACAACAGAAGTAGTATCAAAAGTGATAGAACAATTTAAAGACCATGTAAGTTTACTAACAGACATAAGATTAAAAGGACAATTAGGAATATAAAGAACAGAGTCTAAGGCCAAGGATGGAAGTGGATGTGCACGGCCCACTGCTTTTACAACTGTTTTGGACCCATTAGCCATAGTGACAGAAGGTAGAGATGTAGCATTAGTGAGATGAGAACGTAAATGAGGGTTACCAGAAATATGATCAGAAGCACTAGAATTAAGTATCCAAGGCCCTAAAGGGAAGATTGAGTGAGGCATGCAACTGAATTACCCGAGTGAGCTATGGAGGCAACAGATGAGGAAGACTGCTTATTTGCTTGATACTTGAGATACTCTTCATAATTAGCACCAATGAGAGTCAAGGATGGCTGAATGTGTCCCTCAGATGACCCTGAATGCGGATCAGGGTGATCAGTCTGAACAACATTAGCGGCCTGAGAAGGGGGGCCATGCAACTTGTAGCAATTCAACCATCTTGCAGCAGACATCATCAATTTATGATAGAGATTAAACTGATTTGGGCAGTAGTAAAAAAATAAAAATATTTTATACGATGGATGACGTTTTCCGATGACGGTGACGATGTGGCAGGCGTCGGACAGTGATGAGACCCAAGGTTCTGCTTGTCGGCGTTGTCTGAGGCTATTGGTGTCGACGATGAGATGTCACACTCGTCGGAGAAGGAGATTGGAGAAGCTGTCAGAAAGTCGATTGGTGCGTGGGACGGCGAACAACGATGATCTTTTGAGGGTTTGACGGCGAGAGAGAGACGAATAGGTTGGTGTTGTCGGATTTCAGAGTCAACACTAGATGGAGGCAACCTAAATTTCGCCGGAAAAGATCATCGGAAAAAAATCGCTGAAACAGAAAAGAAGAAGGAAAAAAAATTCTAAGATTTCTGATTTCTTTGCTTTGATACCATGTGAAATCAAAAGAGATTTTTCTTAATATTCCTTGTGAACAATATACAATAATATATATTCATGAAATAATCCTATTCCTAATAAAACTGATCATTTTCCCAATATGATTATGATCCTAATCCTAATGTGATCTTGATCTTAATTCTAATATGATCAACATCCTAATCCTGATATGATTCTGTACAACTCAACAAAATCTATCATTTCGTTTTTGTTTAGTTTAAGGAAGACCTAGTCTAACTTTTATATAACCCATGTGCCTTTATATTTTGTGTTTAACTTTGATTGTGTTGCTGTGATGTTTATGATGGAAGCTAGATTAACTCACTCATGTTTTAGTGCAACACAATCAAAGGTCGGTTCTCCTCAAATAATATCAACCAACAAAGACTCCAAAACTCTAACACAACAACACAATATAAGCAAATCTAACTAAACTTAACAAACCAAACAACAAGTAAATAACAAAATCAAAGTAAACGGCCAACTTTAAGGCTTAAAGGCAAAGCCACCCGCCAAGAGATCCAAATGTAAAGGCTGAGCCATTGGTTTGGATTTTTCCACCACCAAGTTCGACCAAAGCTTGGATAAAGGATTGAAGAAAACTCTTTCAAGAGCTCAATTTATCATTCATAAAAGCTAACCCATTACAAAGCATAGTTTGACTTTATATAGTCTTACAAAATAGTGCCCACAAATTAATAAAAACATAAAATATAAAAATTACGCATAAAAAGGGTCACATGTGACGCCCCAAGGAAAGAGAAAACTAAACACAAAATACAAGGGCACATGGGTTACATATCTCAAAGATCAATCGTTGACTAAAATTTGAATTTTTCTTTTGTTAACGAATTGCTTTTAAATGAGAAAGAGTTTGCAGTGAAGAGAAGAGAGATTGTGAGTTGAGAAAGAGAGACTTAAGAAGAGGGATAGTTTTAATTGATTTGGGATTATGATTTATGGGGGTGTTTGTCATTTTTACAACCTTTTAAGTTCATATACCCTAATACTTATAAAACTAACATTTTGGACCCTTTCGAGCTCGTTGAAGCTCGCGAGCCTAGCAAGCTGAGCTTTGGCTATTTGAACTCGGCTCGTTTGACATCCCTAGTTTGTGCCTTGAAAAAAATTTGTGACCATGTACTTAAGTGAGCCATTTAGACATTTCAAACTGGTTTCAATACTTTATTTGACTATCTTGAAAGAAAACATGAACACCTAATCTACAGACATTAATGCGTGCTTTGGGTAATTGATTGAGCTTATTATTCGATAGTTAGAAGTTTCAATAGTTGCTTCAACTTTAGGCTTAAAAATATTAAGAGGATTAGAGAATTGACCACTTATAGGATCATCTATCGGTTATTTACCTAACGATTTAGACTGTTAGGTAATAGGGATGTTTACAGATTGGGTGTTCATGTTTTCTCCAAAGGTAGTCAAATGGTTATTGATTTTGGTTTTTAGGTATTTAAATTGGTTGAAATGCCTGATGGCTTGCTTAAGTTCATGTTTGGTCAATAAGGCACAAACATGACTAAACTGAAAGTATTTGAAACATGAAGGGTCTGAAGTGACATAAACCAAAACTTGAGTGCGTGTGTATCACTTGCAACGTCTAAAGGAAGATGGAGAGGTGTCATTAGACAGACTAGCAACTAGGAATTTGGGATGGGTGGTGAAAACTTAGGTGGTGGATGGAATCTAGTACGGCGGCTCAACTTTTGGTGGTATGTAGGGAATTTTCCAATTTGTTTTTGGACTTGATTCTTCAACGAAGGTTGTGATGGCGATGCATGGGGCAGTGGTTCAACGTAGTTTTGATTGTGGAAGCTTGGGCTTTCTGTGCAATCTGATTTTTTTTTTTTTTTTTTTTTTTTTTTTTCCATTTTTTTTTTTTTGGGGGGGGTTTTTGGATGGGAGAAATTAGGGTTTTTTTTTTTTGTATTTTGAAAGAATTTAGGGTTTTGATTGAGTCTAGGGTTTTGGGGCACAAGCCTTTAAGAAGAAATCAAAACTTGCTTTGTTACAAATTGATAGAGGGGCAAAAGGAGAAGTTGATAAAGAATATAGAAATAAATAGAATCAAAGAAGGATAGATTGGGAAGAATAGCAAGAAAAAGGAGAAATGTTAGAAAAAATGAGAAAGAAACAATCTATAGGGAAAGAATCAATATCTTATTTCATGTCAAATAATCATGCATAAAAACAATAATGAAAGAAGCTTTTACTCATAGGTCTTGAAAAACTGGATTAGATATAATCCTAATTTTAATAAAACAATATTTGATAATCCTAATTAAAAAAAAAAAAAAAAATAGAAGTTTAATTTAACTAAGACAACTATTCTTTGAACATCAATGTGGCTGGATAGAAAACCACTTCAATGGCTAAGGATGATGAGGCTGATTTATTGTGGGATAAAGTTTGATTCTTTGCTTCTCTTTGGTGTCAGTTTCCTTTGCATTCAAGAATACTTCTATTTTTTCAATAATGAAAATTGTAACACTATTTTTATTATTTTCTGAGTGCTTTTTGTTTTTTGTTTTTTGGAGAGTTCTATTTTGACTTTTGAGCTTTGACAGCTCTGCTGCTTCCATGGTGGACTTCTGGCTCACATTTTTTGTATGTCATGTTTTTGTTTGTTCAGGATTAATATATTCTGTTTCTTCTTCTTCTTCTTCTTCTGTTTTTGTCTAGGTGGACCTCTATATTCTTATAACGACCAGAATATTTGCTTGCATTTTGGAATGACTGTAGATGGAAGTAAAGATCAATGCATCAATACTGAAGGCTTTGCTAGTTTCCTTGGTTTGCTTGAATCAATACCCTTCCATACTGCTGGTTCAGATTATGGATCAAATGAGAATGCAATGCCTGACTTGAGGTACATATCTGTTTTCTATTCAGCTTTTTCTCCTTGTGACCCGTAGCTTATAGAACCATCAAATAATTAAAGGTTGCAATTACTGAGAAAGATAAACTTGAAAACTGTTTCATTTACCTGCATGCAGGTAATGTACTTCCTTTATGCTTAAAGGCATGCCTATCTTTATTTGGATAAAATAAATGTGTCCTGGTAGCCTTTGTGAAATGATGCACATAGCGCCAATCAAGCACAACTGATGCATGGTTTTTAATTACAGTCAGGCCATTGTATATGGACAATTTGGTTTAGAGTTGACTTGCTATGTATCTATATGAACACATGTATTTTGACTCCTGCTCAAACACGAGGCATAAATTAATAAGGTAGAGTACTGGGACTCATGGAAGGTGATATGAACTCATCAAAAGGTGCTCATTGAACATTGTATAATATTTGGTAGTAACATAGATTCAGGCAATGATTTTTGAGTGGGACAGGCAAAAGATATGCCTTCCTTTGCACTATTTTGGGTTGTTAAAAATGAGTGTTACTATGTTAATGATTATTCACTGTTGTAAATAATCTTATATTTACCTATATTTTCTTGTTTCATTTTTCTAGTCAGACAAGCCTATAAAAACACTCTGTACATATTGATTATTAGGTATGTTCTAAAGAAAAAGTTTGGTCGTGGATCATATGGCGAAGTATGGCTGGCCTTTCATTGGAACTGTCAAAATGGCAGTGATGCCTCAAACTCGAGTGAAAAAAGTAAAAATGTCTCAGACGATACCATTCTTGAAGAATCACATACCAGAAATTTGCAAAATGGCTCAACCAATGATTGCCATGCTGGTTCTTCTAATGATGGCTTGTTCATTTTGAAACGTATAATGGTAAGTTATTCAATTGATATAAATTATTTTTTTATTTTAAATTTTAAAAGAAGTTTGTATTCAATTTAGTGTTTACCGATGACTTCATCATAGTTCATTAAGCATTGTTCTCGGTATTGGGTCAAAGTGAAATCTTTTTAACTTAATTGAAATATAAATATTTTATATGAAGCCTAATATACTCAATTGGTCATCGAGCCTTGAAACTTTCTAGTTACTTGGTCACACTAGATGTACAATTGGTTGACAGAGACGATAGTGTCACAATAAATACAGTTGTGGGGACTGGCATTTCGTGTATCCTGTCATTTGTTTTGAAGTATTATTGACTTTATTTCAGTACTGGCATCTCTTGTTGCTGGATTTCTTGATTAGGATATATTGGAGATGATGTATTTTTGAAGCAAGGAACTATGCATTTAATATGTACTATCTTCTAGATTTGCCCTTGTTCTTTGTGGTGTTTATATTTTTGTTATTATTTTATATTTTACACACACTATATCATATTCAGAGTTTTAGAGGTAACTATTGTTGAGATTATCCCTCAACAACTATACTGCCTTTGACTTGGATTCACAAAATATCAATGAGGGATGTATCTCAATTTCCATGTTTGAGGGCATGAAGCATTCAAGGCAGCAGATGGTTATTTAAGGAAAGAATATAGCTTTGCATTCTGGAATGTAATTGAAGATGTGTTTTATGGCTTCATAGTTATGGGCTATGGTTGTAAAGAATCCAGGAATCATGGGCTATTCCAAGTTCCAAGTTCTTGCGATTCTTTATTAACAGAGAATGTTTTTTTCTTTTTGAGAACCGTTTGGAGATGTGTCTTATTAGCTATTCTTTGGGTTTTATGGCAAGAAAGAAATAATCGTATTTTGAAGTGAAAGGAGACGATAACAATGAGGCTTTATGGGAGAGAGTTAGACCTTTTGCTTCTATTTGGGCTTCATTTCCAAAGGAATTTAAGGAATCTTCTTTTTTATTTATACATTTTAATCAGGTGGGGTTTTGGGCTAACTTTGTATAGCTTGCTTATTGTGGGATGGGAAATAGGATATTATGTTTGACCTATTTTTGTTTGTGTCTTGTATAGAATTGTTTATTGTTTTGATTTTTTTTTTTTTTTTTTTTTTAATCTCTGAGTGGATTTCTACTAATCCACTGATGTACCTACATCAATTTCTTCTTTAATATAGTTCTACAGATTCTTATTAAAAGAAAAAAGAAAAAAGAAAATTGAAGATGTGATTTATGTTAGAGATCCTACTTGTGGTCCTTTTTTCCATTATTTTGGAAAATTTGGCATGATTGTCATTACATTGTTCTGTCTCTGTTTATTTAAGAGAGAATATTTCATATGCAATAACAAAAAATTTTAATTACCCATTCTCTCTCCTCTTCTGGATCTTTACCTAGGAAGAGGGTTTGTGCTGTGTTTTTGTACTTCTTTGGGCTTGGATTGTTGGCATGATAAATTTTCATGAGAATGAAATCATACATTTAGATAAAATAGAAAAAAAATTGGCCTGATAAGGTTTATTAGCAATACGAAATGTATATGCAAGAATGTTTATAAATTTTATGCTGTGAAATGCAATCAATTTTATTCTTGCTTACATGGCTTGTGCTTTTAGTGACACAATTATAGTTAATCTTCTACTAGTCAATTTTTCTTCTAATAATGAATTTCATAATTTGTGGAATGTAATTGGTTTATTACTATATTTACTTTCTCCTTCAAATTACTGGTTTGACAAGTTCATATTATTTCAGTATTTCTCACCTTTTTCTCTGACTGGTCATCTGGATCCTTTTTTTTTTTTTTTTTTTAATTGCTGCCTTTTTGCTTTTTACGTTGTCCATTTTTTGAGTTTGATTTTTGTAGGCAATTTATTTCAATGGAGTTGATTACCTTAAACAGGTGGAGAGAGGGACCAATGTTTACTTAAGTGGTCTGCGAGAGAAGTATTTTGGTGAGCTCTTTTTAAATGCCTCGACGAGTCTTGGAGGTTTACTGTTGTCTGGAATATCAGAACCTTATCCAGAAGAATCAAGATCATATTATGATGACCTATTAGAGAAAAATGAATCATCTTTCCATGACTGTGGAAACAGCTGGAGTTTTGATAACGACTTTACGAACAAATTTAGATTGCAGAGAGCTTCCTTTGAGGAAGGTTTGAACCATATTGCAAGATATGTGGAGTCTTTTGAATCTCAATCTAATGAAATATGGCTGGTATTCCATTATGAAGGTGTGTCCTTGTCGAAGCTAATATATACTGTGGAAGAAGCAGCAAGTCATCCTGATGAAGAAAATGTTGAAGAGGTCAAACATGTGCAGGTACTGCGTCCATCAAAATGGTGGCATTGGTTGAAGACAACAGAAGCAGGACAAGAGGAAATGCGCAATCTTATATGGCAGTTGGTATGTCTGCATGCCAATATTAGCTTGCATCTTCCATTGTCACCACTTTAATATTACTTTGGCTTATTTTTCATTTTTCATTCTTGCGTGAACATTGCTTGGATTGGATCGTTAACATGGCTTTTATTTTTATTAGCTCTGCAGTTTGTACTGAATTTTGTGGTTCAAAGATTTGTCATTCCTCTGCTAGGCGAATAAGCTTATTGTTAATAGGATGAGTTTAAATGCTTTAATAAAAAAAGCTTCACTCAAAAGTTTGCTATGTTTGTCCAAAGTTTGGTACTACTATCAACATTGTTCAATGGTAATTCAATGCTCTTGGCTATACTCTCCATCGCCGCTTGATCAAATAAACTTGCTTGTCTTTGAGTTTTAAATTTATTCATTTCTAGTCTCTATCTATGAGACTTGTATCGGGTTTTTTTTTTTTTTCCTTCCATTAAAGATAGTTTCATTAGTTTTGTTTTTGGTCACTTATGCGCCATATTAGTCCTTTCTCTTCCTTTTATTCAACTTCTGCACTAGTCTAGATTTTTTTTTTCTTGGTCTTTATAATGATAAACATTGAAATCAGTCATATAGTATTTGATGTACTTTTCTTTTTTCCTTTCACAGTTGATGGCACTCAAGTCTTGTCATGACCGCAATATCACCCACAGGGATATCAAACCTGGTGAGCACAATAATGCATTTTTTCATCATAGATTATGAGTATCAAGTAATATGATTAAAATAAGAGTCTAAAATGGCATTATTGGCTGCCCTTGGTTGGTCCAAGCTCCTGTTTCTTATGTCTTGCTGGCTGGTCAAATTGATTGCCATATGAGAACTTCTGTATATGCACTAAGCTTTCATGATCCTTCCTCACAATCCTTGGTGTACATGCTACATAAGTTGAAAACCATTTAACCATGCTTTGAGGACCACGCATCTGTGAATCCCATGATTTATAATGACTATATGCTGTGAGAGTTACAGTTTCACAGGCAAGAGTGAGGGTGTGGGGGTGGAGACAGAGATCTGGGTGAGAAAACACTTTTTCAATATATTATTTATCTCATGTCATTCATCTGTGATGCCGTGTAAAATTTAGGGAAGTAATTTTGAGATAATATAACATAAATATGCCCTTTATATTGCAACTGGATTTATATGGTATAAATCTACCGTTTTCTTTTTCTTGAATTGTCATTTCTTTGATCATGTTTCACATCATTTATGGCAAAATAAGTATTTTATGGATTATGCTAACTTAGAATGCTTTTATATTTGTTATTGGAAGAAAACATGGTGATATGCTTTGAAGATTGGAACACTGGGAAATGTTTGAAAGGAACTCCAAGTGAAGATAAGAATTTTACCACCAGAATGTATGTTGGTATAAGTGAAATTTTGCTTTTCAGCTCAAGTTTGTTCCACTTACTTAGCTGAAGTATGATAGGTTGTGATACCATATAGCATTATGAGCAGACGCCTCAAGCAGGGTAACAACTACCCTTTTTGAACCCTTCTGCTCTTTTCTTTGGTGCGTTGAAAGACTATCCTACCTACAGAAGACTTTTTTCCCAATATCATGTAAACTGCCCAAGTAGAATCTTCTTAGTTTGCTTCATTTATTTCTGATAACCCAATGCTCTACAATATTCAGTTTTAGACTATATTAGTATTTAGTAATACTGCCAGCGATATTTTTATTTGGAATTTCAGTAATGACTTTGAATCCTTTACTTGTCATTTAATTCTTCAACTAATTAGTGAACACCCTCGACAATCTGCATGTTTTCCCTGACTGTTTTTGCTATTATTTTTTATTCTTATTGATGCTTGGAGGAAAAAAGAAAGTAACAAACAAAATTGCAGCATCTTATAATTTCTGACTGCTATGTTCATCCTTCAATTTTTGCCTTTCTCTTTTTTTCATGTGTTACATTGTTCTCTTGCGTAGTGTATTCACATTTCACAATAGGACCTCTTTCCTTTCATGGTGCCATTTGTAGCATATAAATGTATGTTCAATGTAATATTGTTCTATTTTCCTCTCTCTTGCTATAATTAGTGAGCAGTAAAATGTTGTTGACAGCATTTATCACCTAATTAAATATGACAAAGGGATATACATGCTTTAGATTATAATTTTCTTGATGGTTGCATATTCCTTTTGTTATATCTATGTTAGGGGTAATTTATTCATACCCTTTTAACTAATTGTTTAGGCGCATCATCGACTTTGGTAGTGCCATAGATGAGTTCACAGTGAAGCATTTGTATGGATCGACTGGACCTTCTAGGTATCTCATTTCTGGGAGTGTTTCTTTTTGTTTCCTGTTTTTGAATCATAGTAAAAGGTCCTGATGGGTGTTTATTTATTTATTTTTTATTTTGCTAGAGCTGAACAAACTTATGAATATGCTCCTCCTGAAGCTTTTCTCAATGCTAGTTGGTATCAAGATCCAACGGGCACAACTTTGAAGTACGTCATATTCCATTTTAAGTGATATAAAAATTTGCATCTTGGTCTATCTTCAACAATATCTTTATTCTGTCTGAACACTTAGTTTCATTTGTTGAATTAGAATGCTTCCCTTTGTATTGGTTGGAATAATTTATTGCATTGCTTGTTTTGTTGCATAGGTATGATATGTGGAGCGTTGGTGTTGTAATCTTAGAGCTGATTTTAGGATCACCAGATGTTTTTCAGATAAGTGCCTTGACGCGCTCTCTTTTGGATCGCCATCTTGAGGGCTGGAATGATGAATTGAAGGAGCTTGCTTACAAGTGAGTTGTTGCTGAGAATATTGCGTTCAACTTAAAAATACTAACTGCCTTTATTTATTTGTCTTTTCTTTATGAAATTTGGGATCTGTATCTCACATTCAATATTTGATAATTTTTTAGACTCTATACTCCATATTTAATTTGATAATTAAGGTTCTGAATTCAAATTGTTCAGCTATATTCTGAAGAAACTCTTATTAACTTTCTGTTTTAAAATATGTACATATAATTCTAGAGGACTCCTATATTATGGCACATTAGTACTAAAAATAACAAGAGCTACTTAACCCTTTTTCTGCTTCTCAATTATGAAAAGGATGTCACATCTCAGCATAAATATATTTGATAATCTTCTAGATCCCATAATGAAAAAGATTATTTATTGATTTATCAATATATAATATGAAAGAGGGAGGGGGTACCATGTGTTGTAATACTTTATCCTATTTCTGTGGTTAAATATACATTTTAGTCTTCTTTATATTCTTATTTATTGGCAGCAAATCTGATAATTGACATCTACAAAGGAATTTCTTGCTCAGTAGTATCCATTTATATCTAAATTGTATGAAGCTTGTTCACTTTAATGTTGAAATATTGATTTTAAGATCCATAAAATTATGAAGATATTGTGTGTGTGGGCCTTCAAAATTTTGTTTGTTTGTTTGGTTATTTTTTTTATTTTTTTTTATTTTTTAATGATTAAGAAATTAATATGCTGTTCTACTTGTTGTAAGGGGAGTGAGTGTTTTGCATATTTTAGTGATAGATGCTGACACTGGTGATTTGGTGAATGTTTGGTTGTGCCAGGCTTAGATCTTTCATGGAATTGTGTATCCTAATCCCTGGCAATTCCTTGAAGCATATGCGCAGTACAAACCAAGTAAGTATATCTTTGTTCTATGTTAAACTAGGTCGTGTTTATGGGACAACAAATTATTGAGCATTTATCTATGTGACTTTTCTTTTTTCATTCTTTCTTTCATCTCTTTATTGATATGTTTAGGTAAAAAGTGTGGTTTGATGGTTCCTATTATAGACAATGGCATAGCTGACTTTCATGATTGCTTTCTGATGTGGATTTTAAATTTTGGTGTTATTACCTTTCATGCTTTAATTTGTGGTCAAGGAGACAAGCAAGCAAGTTGAAGAGTATCTGTATTCTGTATTGACCTTCAACCCCAAAGTTTTTGAGGTTACTAGTTGTCATTTCTTCTTCTATCCAATTTATAATCAGAGGGAGCCCAAATAAACTAGAATTTGGAATGTCTACCACTGACTGTCTGTGCTTTAAAGCAAGGTCTAGAGTTGTACCGAATGACCCAGATAGAATTGTATGACTATGTTCTGACAGTCAAGAATATTATAAACAATTCATGGTCTTGAACATTATGTTATTTGTCTAATGATTAAGGTTCATTTTTGGATGCATTTAGCAGTGAAGATTTCATGGCTGTCAGTAGAAATAAGTGCTGAAGTATCACTGCAGAGTGAGTTAGGCCTGGTGTTTATAAAGCTTTATCCATTGTTTTTAGAGGATTATTGTACTTAAAAGAGTATGATACGCTAATTGTCTTTTTTGAAGCATAGTATCCTTGTCAAGATCTAGCTTTGACATGTACTGATTTTTTTTTTTTTTTTTTTTTTGGATAGGAAAGGTAGAAATGTATATTAATGAGAAAAAAAACTTAGAAAGTGAATCAGAAATCCCCTCCTACAAAAATAACCCTTCTAAAAAGGGCCTAAAGCTTTGACATGTACTCATTGAATTTCATTTTTGGGAATCCAGGGTAGATTGTCGCCTGCTTCTTGGAAATGCTCTGAGGAGTTCTTTTCTCAACAAATAAAGAGTCGAGATCCTCTTAAACTGGGGTGAATTATGATAATCATGCCTATGTAATTTTATTATTCTGAAGATTGTGTTATATCTTTACATATTCTTTTTATCACCATGTTGGCAGGTTTCCAAATGTTTGGGCAATGCGGTTAGTGCGCCAACTTTTGCTTTGGGACCCTGTAAGTTTTCTGGTTTTGTAATTCAAACAATACTGTTGCAAGGCATTTAAGACTTCAATTTGTTGTTAATGTTGTTAATTGCTTTAAAATAGTTTTTTGTCGGTAAGTCCTCCTAATTAGCAGCTGAGCCATTGACAACCTTTAAACTTCTCTGGGCAATTTTCTTACTCCACTCTCTGTTGGTTGTTACATCTCTACCTTGAGTCTGGAATCTTTGTGGGGTCTTGAAGATAAATTAGCTGGTAACTTGGTGTGTTATAATAAAATTGAGTTAATTGGGGTTGGAGCAAATTCTTGCTTCATAGATTGTTATATCCCTTCTGGGAATGTATTGTGGACCTGAAGATAAATTAGCTTGTGATTTATGACTTAGTTGATATGACAAGATCTCTGACTTAAATCATTATCAGCTACTACATTTGTCCTTCCAGGATAATTTGTGATGAGAGATGACTGGAGAACGCTGATGACTATTTCTAATGGAGACTGTCTTGTTTTTTTACCATTTGTTAATCTACGTCATTGATTTTGGGGTAATTGAAGCAGGCGTAACAATGGGAGCACCAGAAACATTGAAGACTTTGCCGAAATTTTTCAATGGCAAAGAGAGTGATAGGAACCCATTCCAATAACTCAACAATTTAGGTTGGGTCCCTTTCAATGTGGGATCCTAACAGAGAGCTCCCTTGTTGATAACCTAATTAAATACAAGTTCGGATAATGATACTGACCTGACCCTAACTGAGCTGGTCATTTACAACTTAGGCATTTGATATGATTCTGATCTAATTCATCAGCTACTATGTTATTCCTTCTAGGATAATATCGTGATGAGGATGATTGGAGATTGATGATAACTATTTGGATGGAGAGTAATTCTCATGTTTAGTCGTTTGTTATTCTGTGCTAACTTTGGGGAGCTCTAGAGGTAGAGGAGATTTTGCCAAAAAAATTTATTGCAAAGGAAGTTCCCTAGTTGAAACCGTTGTGAACAAGAATTCTGATTTACATAGATACCATTCCTATGCAGCAAAAAAAAAAAAAAAATTGGTCCTCTTTCAGTTATTTTCCTACAAAATATATTTTCATGTACCCAGGTTTGTGCCATGACACTAAATATTATCTATCAATTATTTGGCATTGCAAATCATGTTGTGAAGCGTATTTTAACTTACAATTTGTCTTTTAGATTTGCTTTCAAATGCATTATTGGACTATACATGTGAACCTGAAATTTATATAACTTTTAGGAGGATCGCATGAGTGTTGATGATGCACTGCAGCATCCTTATTTCCGACCTTCCAAAAGATGAGGTGATGAGAACTATTTTTTCATGGAAGCTACAATTTCCTACATTTTGTTTTAATAACCAGATGTGCAATAACTCCAGATTCTTTCAATTTAGATGCAGATTTCATAATTCTCTCTTTGATTTCAGATGAGCTATCATTACTCAAGACTCCTGAAGATGTTACAAAAATCAGAAATAGGAAGCTTCAAAAAATTGCGGTTGATGATCAGAATGCTGAATACACTGGTAAGATTATGAATGTGTCTCTACTGCTGACTGTTCTATGCCATCCTGTCTGTTCTACAGTTTCTGTAGTTAGACAAGAAACCAATTTTCACCAATAACAAAATGGTGACAGTGATAGTGAACTGGTGATCCACCTCAGGTATTCAAACCATACAGTTGAAAATCTTCATATAAGAATACAACTTAAACCAAAACAGGATTCCAATCTGTTGTACTGTTATATGTAGTTTTTGGGCAATGTAATGACAATTATCACCTAATGGAAGCATAATTTCAATTGAAAGCAGTCCTTGGATCGGTCATGTGTATTGATGACAATATATCGTATTTGTAATATAATGTGGACTAAAGAATAAAACTAAAATTTATCCTCTTTATAACAATTGAATGAAATTAACGGTTTCTCTGTGTCTTTTCTTATTATAGATTTCTGTTTTTTATTTTTTTATTTTTGTCTTAATTATGTTGCAAGACATGTTTTGAGGAAGCAAGACCATATCAAATTTTTGCAGGGAAGGCAACATGGTTGGAATTTTTTTGAGTTATGACAGCTGGGCATAATGAAGAATGCAATCCATTTCCTTGGTGTTGATGGAATATTAAGGTACGTTTTGATAGTACTTGTCTTGAAATCTCTCTGCATTTGGTGTAGATATGCCACCCATGTCCTTGACGCCCCAAGTCAGAATTTCCTGCCACAATCGTACTCATGGCTGATAGTCAAATTTTAATTGCCTGCTTAGTCACTCAAAGGATTTCATAACTTGTGGTCTAAAAAGTTCCTACTTGCTAGGAAGTTGATAGTAGGAATTTCTCTCGTGAATTAAACCTGAACCTTTATTTTATAGAACTTTTCATCATTAACTGTTAAGTTATCTTCTTTATCTAATCCTAAATCATTCATTTTTTACTAGTTCATAATATGGGCTGTTCATTTGTAAAGCCTTTGTCCATAATGGGTTTACATATTACTGTTAAATTCAATTTTTTCGCCATCTATGGTGTTATTTCTATGCCACAGATGACAGATTGGAAGTTTCTAACCACCCAAAATATACTTATTTCAGGGTTTCTTCAGATGGCATATTTGAGATTTGAGGAGCTTAAACCCCAAGACATTTGTGATCTTTTTACTAGATCATCCTTACCCAGACAGAAAGGTCCGATCTGTTCTTTATCCCAGTACGCCATCAAGTGAATTTATATTGAGGACTGCTTATGAAGGAGATGGCATGGATTACTTATCTGTTATGGCTGTTCTGTTTGGATCATCTGGTTTTTCCGTAGAGCTCGTAAAATGCATATTTGTTTTTTGTTGGGTAAACTTGGTAATTGCCTCTCACACGACTTGAATACAAGACTTCCTTGGATATAAACGGTTTCAGGTACCTTGTATTTTTCGAGGGAATCGGAAATGCACAGTGCAGGTTCCCAAAAAAAGGAATCGGAATCGGAACTGTAAAGTGCAGGTTCTTAAATTCAAGGAATCGGAACCTAAAATGTAGGTTTCGGTTCTTTTCCCGGGTACCCTATAAAAAATTAATTACCCCCTATTAGTTTAAAAAATGATAAAAATACTTTAAAAGTTTACAAATACACTCCTAACAAATTTTGATTACTCATTCATTTGTGTCCAATGTAACTCATAAATCTTCCAATCTCTAGACAGCACTTGAATTTAATCAATTCATCACAATTCACACAAAATTTCTCAATCAAAACCAAGACAAACAATTATTCATCGTAAAATTGTTAATTTAATGTTATAAATTGTTAATGTTTATAATGTAATATAATAGTATTATAATTAATTAAGTAATTATTTAATTATAATGTAATGTTATAATTAATTAAGTAATCATACTATACATGTATAATATAATGTTATAATTAATTAAATTTCTAATTATTTAATTAAATATTGTACTAATGTTTATAATGTAATGTTATAATTAATTAAATAATCATATTATAAATTTATAATGTAATGTTACAATTAATTAGATTTTTTAACTATTTAATTAAGTAATGTACTAATGCCTAATGTAGTAAATTAATAATGTTTATTAGGGGTGTTCAAAAAAATGTAAAAACCGAACCGAACCGTTAACTAAACCAAAAAACCGGTTAACCGAAAAAATGGTTCAGTTACGGTTCGAAAAATTCAAAAAATCGAATTTTCAGTTCAGTTACCGGTTCGGGCAAAATTAGAAACGGTTAACCAAAAACCGGTTTTTCAAATATATATATATATATATTAAATAAATAAATAATAACCTAAACTAAAATAAATCTCTAATTTACTCAATATAAAATCCCAACCCAAAATTTTTTTCTTAGTTTCCAATGTATTGTCTATATTTACAATTTAATTTAGGACCAAAAAAAAAAAAGGGAAAACCGGTTCAAAATCGGTTAACCGCTTTTTTTAAAACGGTTAACCGGTTCGGTTTCGGTTCGGGAATTTTCCCGAATCGAAAATCCGGTTCGGTTTAGAAAAGCGGTTAACCGCTTTTGAACACCCCTAATATTGTTTATAATGTAATGTTATAAATTTATAACTAATTAAATAATTATTTAACTATGTAATGCTATAATTAATTAAGTGATCATAACATAATGTAATGTAATAATATTATAATTAATTATTTAATAATTTAATTAAGTAATCATTTGTTTATAATGTAATATTACAATTAATTAAGTAATCATACTATAAATTTATAATGTAATGTTAATATGTTATAATTAATTAAATTTCTAATCATTTAATTAAGTATTGTGTTAATGTTTATGTAGTAAATTACTAATGTTTATAATATAATGTCATAATTAATTAAGTAATCATTTAATTATATAATGTTATAATTAATTATGTGATCATACTATAATGTAATGTTATAATGAATTAAGTAATCATACTATAAATCTATAATTTAATATTGTAATTAATTAAATTTCTAATCATTTAATTAAAGAATCATTTGTTTATAATGTAATGTTATAATTAATGTTTATAATATAATGTCATAATTAATTAAATAATCATGTAATTATGTAATACTATAATTAATTATGTAATCATATTATAATAAATTAAGTAATCATACTATAAAATCTTTAATATAATATTATAATTAATTTGTTTATAATAGAATGTTATAATTAATTAAGTAATTATTTAATTATAATATAATGTTATAATTAATTAAGTAATCGTACTATAAATTTATAATGTAATGTTATAATTAATTAAAATTTTAATCATTTAATTAAGTATTGTGCTAATGTTTATGTAGTAAATTAATAATTACTAATGTTTATAATATAATATCATAATTAATTAAGTAATTATTTAATTATGTAATATTATAATTAATTATGTGATCATATTATAATGTAATGTTATAGTAAATTAAGTAATCATATTATAAATCTTTAATGTAATATTATAATTAATTAAATTTTTAATCATTTAATTAAGTAATGTAATAATGTAGTAAATTACTAATGTTTATAATGTAATGTTATAAATTTATAATTAATTAAGTAATCATTTAACTATGTAATGCTATAATTAATTAAGTGATTATAATATAATATAATGTAATAATTTTTTAATTTAATTAAGTAATTATTTAACTATAATGTAATGCTTAATTAATTAAATTTCTAATCATTTGTTCATAATGTAATGTTATAATTAATATTTATAATATAATATTATAATCAATTAAATAATCATCTAATTATGTAATGTTATAATTAATTATATAATCATAATATAATGAAATGTTACAATGAATTAAGTAATCATATTATAAATATGTTATAATTAATTAAATATCCAATCATTTAATTAAGTATTGTGCTAATGTTTATATAGTAAATTAGTAATTACTAATGTTTATAATATAATGTCATAATCAATTAAGTAATTATTTAATTATGTAATGTTATAATTAATTATGTGATGATACTATAATATAATGTTATAGTGAATTAAGTAATCATACTATAAATCTTTAATGTAATATTATAATTAATTAAACTTTTAATCATTTAATTAAGTATTGTATTAATGTTTGTAATAAAATGTTATAATTAATTAAGTAATTAACTAATTATACTATAAATCTATAATGTAATGCTATAATTAATTAAATTTCTAATTATTTAATTAAGTAATATACTAAATGTTATAAGTCAATTAATTAAGTAGTATCAATTAATGTAATGCTATAATAAATTATACTATAAATCAATTAAGTAATGTTATAAAATTATAATTAATTAAATAATTGTTTAACTATAATGTAATATTATAATTGATTAAGTATGATATTTAACTAGTAATTAAATTTATTAATGTCTATCAATTTATCATATATAATTAATTAATTGCTAATTTACTATAGATATACTTAAAACTTGATAATTGAAGTAAATAACTAAATATATTATTATTCAATCAAATATATTATTTTATTCAAAAATGATTCTTTTAATAACATTAAAACACTTTTAATTGGATCCTAATTCTAATTATACACTTAATTAATCAAAACTTTAATATTAATATATTAAAGTTTTTAATATGGTGTAGTTTCTATATAATAAGTATCATTGTATATTTATTTAATTAGGTTATACTAAAATTTTAACTTTTTCTATTTTAATTTTTTTATATGTAAAATAATGAAACCCTCCATTATTCACAAATATTTCATTGGAGCCCAGGTTCCAAAACAGGTTCCAAAAATAGGTTACAAACAGGTTCCAAATCGAGTACCCGCTATAAGTTCCAAGCCGGGTACCCATTTTAGGTTCTTTTTTCAGGTTCCGGTTCCTCCACACATAAGAACTGAAACCGAAATCGCACAGTGTCGGTTCCAATAAAATGGAACCGGAACAGCACAATGTCGGTTCCAATAAAATGGAACCGAAACCTACCCGCACAATGTCGGTTCCGGTTCTACTCGCCACCTGTGCTCACCCTTAGATATAACTAATCCCATTGGCTATAGGGTTTGCTATCCAGCCATAAGGGACAATAATGAAAGATTGAATCTTTAACAACACCAAATATGGTTAGTTTGCTTTATAAATTTCAATTTCTTAGGGGGCGTTTGGTTGGGGGTAATGTAGGATTATTGGAGTTATGTCATCTTATATTACTTGAATACCACGTTTGGTTGTCAAGTAATATAAGATTCCGGTAATCTTCAAATACCAATAATGGTTACTGTTGGTAATATTGGAGGTAATCTAATTACCTCTTTTTTCTTAGGTATTCTAAGATTACCAGGGTAATATTTATTTTATTACAATTCTATCCCTTATTAATAAAATTTTAGGACAATAATGCCCTTATTTTTAAATCTATTTACATGAATATGGTTTTTACTATTTCACCCCAATTAATTAACTTTTTGGACAAAATTACCCTTTAATTCAAAACAAATTGTAGCCCACCCAAGCCACCACCCCCACCCACATGTCACCGGCAATCACTGCTGCGGCCAACTGCGGTCGAAACGGTGCACGGAAGGCTGAAAATGGCTATCGTGCACCGATATGGCCATTTCTAGCCAGATATCTGGCCGAAAATGGCCATATTGCACAGGGAGGCCATTTTTTCCTTTCGTGCGTCGTTAGGTTGCTGGCGGCCTGCGGTGGTTGCTGGTGGCTGGGTTGGTGGGGGTGCTTTGTTGATTTTCTAATATTTTATTATGTGGTTGTTTTTGTTAAGTTTTTAAATGCAGGGGGTTATAATGATCAATATTAAAAAATAATATAATATTTAATTAGAGGTCAATATTCTAGGTTTTTACTATTTCACCCCAATTAATTAACTTTTTGAACAAAATTACCCTTTAATTCAAAACAAATTGTAGCCCACCCAAGCCACCTCCCCCACCCACATGTCGCTGGCAACCACCGTTGCGGCCAGCCGCGGTCGGAACGGTGCACAGAAGGCTGAAAATGGCTATTGTGCACCGATATGGCCATTTCTAGCCAGATATCTGGCCGAAAATGACCATATTGCACACGGAGGCCATTTTTTCCTTCCGTGCACCGTTAGGTTGCTGGCGGCCTGCGGTGGTTGCTGGTGGCTGGATTGGTGGGGGTGTTTTGTTGATTTTCAAATATTTTATTATGTGGTTGTTTTTGTTAAGTTTTTAAACGCAAGGGGTTATAATAATCAATATTAAAAAATAATATAATATTTAATTAGAGGACAATTCAGTAATTTAAATAACATACCTATCAATTTATTCTTTCCAACCAAACATATTAATATAACATATCTACCAACTAATCAAACATATTTTCCTAAAGATTATATAAATCTTCAAAGTAATCTAACTTTTAAATAATTTAACATTCTCAGTAATCCAATATTTTCGGAATCAAACGCACCCTTAGAGTTTTATGGATTAACTGTCTCATAGTAAATCAAGTTTGATTGAAGTGAGCAAAGCATTGCATTTAACTCTTTCTTTTACCCCCCAAAAGTTGGTTTAAGGACTTGGAAGAGTACCAGTCTGTCTTTCGGTTTTTGTTTTGCCATAAAGAAGATCAATTAATGAAATCTATAGTTTTGTTTTTTAAGAAATTTTGTGAATTATTCTATTATACTGTCAACTTATTTTCCCGAAGTGGGTGCTTTCCAGATTGTTAACTGCTTAAAGTAGACGTTACCCTAAAGCAAATTACTTGCCAGCAACTTGAAATAATGTATGTTATTTTGTCGGCTATGCAATTTGTATAAGCAAAGACTCATCATAAAATAAAAAGAAACGGGTGGTAAGGGATGGCCCAACCCAAATTTGAACAAAAAGAAGAGAGACCGACATGTTCACACCCAAGGTTCGACGAAATGACACTTTTTCACTCATTAAGTTTCAAAATGATACTTTTTTATCTTTCGTTAAGTTCTGTTAGTGTTTTATGTTAATATTTAACTGAAAAGACGAAAATATCTTTAAATAGTTTATTATAAATTAAAATTTAATTAAGTCAAAGTCTTTACTTGATTATTTATTAGTTTAAGTGTAAAGATATTTTTTTTCTTTGTTTATTTAATTAATTAAGAATATTGATTTTCTATATTAATTAGGAAAAATAAAAAAAATTATATTATGAAAAACATTATAAATTTAGTAGATTATTGAATAATGGTGATAGGATATTGATGACATTATAAATAAATAAATAAATATTAAGATCATTTAATTTTAAATAATTTTATAGCATTACTCCTAACTTTTTAGGTAAGACTAACTATTTTTTTTTTTTTTTTTTACTTTGTAGTTAATTAAAAATTTATAAAATCAAATTTTTAAGGGTATTTTCATTTTTTCAATAAATTATTAATAGAAAACATAACAAAATCTAAAGACGGATAGAAAAGTGTCATTTTTAAACTTGAAGGGTGGGAAAGTGTCATTTCCTCAAACCTTGGGATGGGAAAATGTCGTTCTTCCCAAAAAGAAGAAGGAAAAAGCACTTGTGAAGGAGTCTCTTTCTCAAACACCCGGTATCCAATGGAGCTTTAGAAATTTAAATTTGAAATTTGCAAATTTTGGGAAAAAGGTTACGCATGAAAAACCAATTGATTCTTTTTTTTTTATTCTTTTAATAACCCATAAATCCTTTGATTTTGCTTCGCCAAATGGTGTTCAAAACTAGAACTTTGCCAAACTCTATAATCTTTGAAAAGTGTGAAACAATGATCTTATTCATGTAGGTGCCCGCCCATGAAGAGACTCAAACGCTAACAATTAAAATCTCAAGACAATGGAATTACAATAACAGAAAGGTTGTCTGTACTGCCTTCATCATATGCAGTTTTTACAATAAATTCAGCTAATGTGGATGAAGGCCCTTTGACATAATGGGAATCCCATTTCAATATGAGATCACCAACATCATTTGGCTTGAGGCTCTCAAATATTCCATCAGATGCAACCACCAAATACCTATCATTACCACTTATGTGTTGCCAACCTGTTACCTCTGGCACAGCTATAACACCATACCTGAATCAATGAATAGCTTATTTGTTTAAAATTATTGTCATTTAAGGTTTGCACAAATATGAGTCCAAGAATTGCCATTAAACTTGGGAAATATTAGTAAACTTTGACGATTAAACGAGACGGGTATTAAGGTAACCATTTCAAATTAGGAACATCACCTTTTCAGATAAATATCGCCAATGGCACGGGACATGGCGAGGATGCCATTGACCCTAGGGACTCCCCGGACGATAACTGAACCACCTGTTGCTTCAATTCTGGCTCGTTCATCAGCTTGATCTGGATGATGATCTTTTGTCAATTCAATGGCTGAAAGAGAAGCTGCCAAATGCCATTTATCAGCGAGTTTGTGTCAAAATACAAGAAATAAGTTATCAATTATACAAGACAGTAGAAAATCCGACCTTCAGGCCCCTGACCAGACTCAATCTCTGAGAAGATAATGGCTTTTGAATCACCAACATTTGCAACTAAAATTTTCCCATCAAACAAAACAATGACAGTCGCCGTGGACCCTGATAAAAGGTTGTTCTTCACGGCCTCCTGAAAATATCGAATGCACCATCCACAATTCACGAGGAGCAAAAACAACTAGAACAAATTGAAATAACCTGAAGCAAGAAACCGAAAGGATACAACTTGCCTGAGTAAATTTGGCATCAATATCATAAATAGTACTCAACAATGCTTCTTTAATAACTTCCAGCTGCAAAGATTCACTATCATTTGCAGTAAACTCTCCCTGGAATTGCCCCATTAGCTTGTACATCTTGAAGACATAGTGCAAGTGAAAATAATCTGATAAAAGGTTAGAACCCGTCTCACTAGCTTCCTCGCCGCCATGACCATCAAATACTGCAGCAATTCCAAGCCTTACTTCCTGGAGCCGATTTTCGCCTGCACCCATAGATTCAATTAATTACTTGCTTTGATAATAACAATATATGTCCCTTGATAAGGGAAATTATATATTATCAAACACCTTGCAGAACAAATCAAAACACTTAATTGTGATTCTGCATTCAAAGATCATAAGACCAGAAAAGTTCCCAGAACTAAATATGTGGAACATCTGTTTGTGAAAATTACCCAACCAACTCGACTAATTTTACATGTCCTTCAATTTCAAAACTAACTCAATTCTTTTGAATTATAAGAGTGAGAGTTAGAGAAACAACCTATAAGCGGTATAATTTTCATGTGAAGATGACATGATATACGATCCTCTTGGTAGCGGCGATCTCCCTGAAGCTGAGCGAACTGACAATTGGGAGTGTGATTTTGAAGAGAAGGCCATTGGAGACATTCCTCAGAATCAAAAACAGCAGGAGCCCCACCTTGCTCATACACCATCATACATGATACAGTGACCCCATTTCCAGATGAACATGTTACAGTATTAGAAATAAGAACAAGTCCAAGTATGACAAATACAACTCCAAGCTCCTCCATTCTACCAACTGAGAAACAGAATTTTGCAATTCTAATCATTTGGGTTGAAGTTTTTTTTATTAATTCATATGAAGTAAGGGGAATTAAAATGTAATTCAAACATAATTTTAAGATTTCAATCTTGAAAATTTGCACCAATAAACAACGCTATTCTCAAATCAATTATCATATTAATTGACAAATTATTTTCTTTTCCTCTTCAGATTAAAATTTGTTACTACCCAGAAAAGTAAACTCGCCTTTTTCTGCAGAATTATTACGCGTGAAGTTAAAGATTATTTAATCACATATGGGCAGATTGCAATTGCATTACAAATTTGCATATATAAGAATAAGGGCAAGGGATGTATTAAAAATTTAATCATAAAAAATCCAAAATGATAAATTACAAAAATTGATAAAAGAAAACAAAAAGAGAAGACACGGATTTTACATTTTTACAAGCACACTTTCTCTAGTATACAAGGTGAGAATACAATTTGACCTTTTTTTTTTTTTTTTTTTTTTTAAATAAACTTAGAATTCTGTTGTTGGATAATTATGGTTCATGGCTGTATACGCGGCTGTGGAGCTCCTGCATTTCTTGATCATTTGGATCAACAGAAAGAGCTGCTCGGCAATCTCGCAGTGCGGCCAAGACATCACCCATATGCTCATGAAATGCTGCTCGCAGATGCAGAAGGTGAAGGTCTGCTTTGAATGCAATGGCCCTTGAGAGTTCTGCAATTGCTTCATTCTCTTTGCGGCTATCCATTAAAACTGCATCAACCAAAATCAAACAACAGCTGCAACATAAGTTGGATGTATAAATGCAGCATGGAGGTTGGTGATGTGGTGTATAGGCACTCGCTCTAATGACATTTTTTTCAAGATTGGGAAATAATCGGGAGCAGAGTGTCAAAAGATTTTAAGTGTAGGTGAAAAAAAAAAAAAATTATTTATTTTGCTTAAAACTAGGCTGTAAGTCATATAGACATTGGAGCTGTCATGTCCTAAAATTAGTAGTTCTCTTCTACTTTTACAACATATAGACAGCATTTATGACTAGTTAAACTTTGACATCGCACAAATGTCAAAGAAAAATCATAATGAAACAGCTATATAAGTAAGTATGGGACATCTTCGTACAAAGCTTGAGAGTAACTAACTAGTTTCAGCATTGCTCTTATATTTTTGATAAAATTACTTTCGGCTGAAACTTAGAAACAGGATACTCTGACAACAGCAACAAAATCAATCAAATATAAATTCTATTGTCTTCTGGGCCTCATGATCAAAATAGGTACCAACAGTTGGCCATTTTATGACAATAGGAAGATTTGCTAGTTTGGGTTCTCAGTATGCATAAACAGTACTATTGGGACTAGCAGTCAAATATCAGTAGATGATTGATGTAGCAAAGGAATATAATCATACCTGCAGCTCGATATCTATAAGGGTACACCCGGAGAGGATCTAATCGAGTAACCATTTCTAGATCTGCCTTTGTGAGTTCACGGTCGCAATATTCAGACCTCTTCTCATAGGCAGATGCATTGTTCCGAGCTTTTTCAATCAGTTTGGTCATTTCTGCATATGCACCAACCTTATCATTTCTCAGATAATGAACCCGAGCAAGGCCTTGGTGGGCTCTGGTGTGTCGAATCTTAAGGGCATTAACGTAGCAATCAGCAGCCATGTCCAACTTTCCAGAGTCAACAAAAACACTTCCTAGATTGTTTAAGGCCTGATAGAAGGAATTTCATAATTTCAAAATTAGAAAACGTTGTATCCCAACTTCACTTATTATGCATGCAAAATTGTTACAAATAGAATAACATGAAACTTTAAAAAGCTCAAAACTCCATCATTCTAAATTATTCAATCTTACTAATGAATAAAATAATTTTTTAATCCTAGAAGACTGGTCTATCTGAATTATATGCTCTACTTGCAATCAATGATCTATTCTTAAGAACAGATGACAACAGCCTCTGCATCCAAGCTAAGTCTTCTTAGCATGGGCAATGGCCAAAAATAATATCTTTTCTTAACAGTATCCCACTTTTTCTCTAAAGAATTCAGTGGTTCCATGCATAGAGATCCAATTAAGCTACTACAGTATTAACTCTCCCTAGGGCTGTCTAGCATTGCCCATCTACTGGCAATCTTCAAGCAAACAAGAGTGCAAGCACATTTTTAGTGATCAACAGAATCAAATAACTTGGAAATTAAAGAGATAGGGCGGCTCGAAAGAAATTTATGAAATGCACCACAACTGAACTTTTCCAGTCAACTAGTGTAGTGTTATAGTTTGCCTTGCAGCAGACCAAAGTTATGAACAAAATCATAGATCTGATGAGCTTTCACATTTTAACCATGGATCTGTTTCAGACCACAGCCAAAAACTGAGAAAATGGGCAACAATCTCAATCACTATACTACACTGTAACTGACATTAGCCCAGGAATTCTGATACCTTCCAATTTAACCATCAGGATTTCAAAGTTCTCTGAACATACACTTTGACTAACAATGTAGACTTCTCTCTGCTACTTAGCATGGCAAAATTTCAACTTCTCCAAGTAGGAACATTATACTTTTATCTCTTCTATGTAATCTTATTCACTCACTTTTAAGACCCTCCTCAAATACCTTAACCTATCACTAACCTCTCTCAATATTGCAGTCATTAATCTTCATTCAGCAGATTAGAGGTGGCAGTGGGCCGTGCTGGCCCACAAAATATTCGGCACAGCCCCCTACGGCACGGCACGAAATTTTCGTGCCGTGCCATAGCCTATGGGCCATGGGGGCCGTGCCGTGGGTTTCGAGTTTTGGCACGTGGGCAGACACGACACGGCCCACATACCATAAAAAATAAATAAATAAAACAATATTTGCGGGCCAGAACTTTTGGCATGTGGGCTGACCCGGCACGGCACAGCCCACGTGCCATAAAAAAATATATATATTAAAAAAAAAATTGTTTTGTAGCTGTTGAGATTTGGCTTATTTAAGGCACTTGCTACAAAAAATTTGGCTTATTTAAGAGAATTTGAGAGAGAATGAGAGAGGAAAGTGAATATGTGAAGAGGGGGGTGGCAACAGGTGGATTAAATAAGCCAAATCTGAACAACTACAATGTAACCGTCGAGATTTTTTGTAGCTACAAAACAAATTTATATATATATATATATTTTATGGCACGTGGGCCGTGCCAGGCCGGCCCACGTGCCAAAAGCCTCGGCCTGCAAATATTGTTTTTTAACCCGAGGCCCACAGCACGGTCCCCATGGCCCATGGGCCATGACACAACATGAAATTTTCGTGCTGTGCCGTAGGGAGCCGTGCCCTTTTTTTTGTGGGCTGTGCCGGCTCACGGGCCGGCAAGGCCCACTGCCACCTCCACAGCAGATATAAATAACATTTATTAAGTGCAGCATGTTTCTTTGACCTCTAATTCATGGTATTAGCCATAACTTTTTAGCTAATGTATTTACATTTATCATTTATAACCAAAGGGCTGAATGTTCTAGACCAAAAATATGGTGCTAACTTCAGTACAGTGAGCTAGCCAACATCATAACCTCGACATGTTGCTTGACTTTTGAATCTTCCTAACACAAACAGAAAGATTGAGGTAATAGAAATTCCTTTGTCAATATACAATTCACAGCCTCCATCCCTTGTCACAAATAATAATAATATAAAAGTAAGAAGCTTCCAAGGATGACGTATATCCACTAGTTAAACTACTTAAGAAGGAAGAATATGATACATAAGAGAGAGAGAGAGAGAGAGAGAGAGAGAGAGAGAGAGAGAGAGGCAAAAAAAACAGTGGAGCAAATACTAATAAAATAAAAGTAAGAAGCTTTCAAGGATGACTTATATCCACTAGTTAAACTACTTAACAAGAATATGACACATACATATGAGAGAGAGAGAGAGAGAGAGAGAGAGAGAGAAGAAGAAGAAGAAGAGGTGGAGCAAAGATGGTGAAAACCTATTTCGAAGACAGATGATAGCAGACCACTTCCAGAGTTAGGAAAAATATAAACAAATTGTGGGGGTAGCAGAGAATCCATACCTGGCCTTTCCGCAGCCTATCTGAGGGACACTTCAACGCATCTTCAAGCAGTGAAATAACAGTTGAAGAACTAGATGAATCCTGGCTAGAGTCAGCCAGTGCATAGGCTTTAAGGAAGAAGGCCTCAAAGGATCTTTTAATTTGTATAGACTCTTCCGCTTTTCTGAGCCCTTCATCACAATGACCTGTATCATATAAGATCCATCCCTCATACACCAGCCGCTCATGGTCACTAGGTGCATGGTGGCGAGCTAACTGTAAACTTCGCATGGCTGCCTCAGGACAGTTCAACCTAATTGAGATAAAAAATGAGGTTTAACTCACACTTATACGAATAATCTAAACACCACATAACATGCTAAATATACAGAAGAGGAACACGGAGTTGAATTCAGGATCAAGAATCAGAAATTATAGGAAATTTTGGATTTTGCAGTGAAATCCATCTTTTTTTTTTCCTTTCGTTGCACCAAATTCCAAATCATTTTAACAGTTGCACAATGTGGCAGGTTATTCATTTACGACGAAGCATAAAAAAATAACATCAAATAATAATACACATAAAATAAGGTTGCATATGCTTGATTAGAAAAAAAAAAAAAAAAAAAAAATACCGCTCATCCATTTGTTTAAAATAGCTATAACTGGAAGTTTATAACGAAGCATAAAAAAATAACATCAAATAATAATACACATAAAATCAGGTTGCATATGCTTGATTAGAAAAAAAAAAAAAAAAACTGCTCATCCATTTGTTTAAAATAGGTATAACTGGAAGTTTATAACATACCTGAGGAGAAGCAGAGACTGCCTGAAGTATAACACACCTTTTGGAGCATCAGATTCAAGCATCTGGTAGATTACAGACAGTGACCCAATATCGTCAACAGAAGACCAGCGATCATACAATTGCAACCAGCAATCTGCTGTAGTCCAACTATCGATATGCTCACGCACAAGAGTGCAGAGATGGGATGCTGCTACTCGTCCCTCAAACATCCTATAATCAGGAGAAAGTGTGAGAATTGCCTGGACATCACACATTGCCGATTGGTACTGCTCAAGAGCCAAATAGAAACAAAACCGGAGTTCCAAGCACTCTAGTGCAAGTTTAAAACCAAGAACCCGATTAATTTCTGCAAGTGCAGCTTCAGCATTCTGTTTCATCATTAAGGAAGCAGCCCTATACATATAGGGGTAAGTGAGAGTTGGGTCCAACTCAGTTGCTTTCTCAAGATCTTCCCACCTCTTATCAACTTCACAGTATAATGATCTCTCCTGATACATCCATCCCAGTGGAGTAACAGAGGAAATCACATTGCTGAGCTTCTCATAACACCTAAGTTTATGACCCTTAATAAAACCCAATCTAGCTAAACCGGTAATAGAATATGTATGGCCTGCATTTACAGCTGCCTCAAACAGAAGTTCAGCTTCGTCATACTCTTTCCTCAAGAACCTCACACATCCAAGTTGATGAAATGCCAGGAGTTTCTGTCGATCAGTTTCAGCAGAATCTAGCAGTCGTTCCAGGAAACAAACTGTTTTATCTGATCGAGGATCAAGGTTCATAGCAACTTCACTTAATAAACAGTACAGTGAAAAAGGAGCCACCCCAACCATGATTGATCTACGGTGTCTATCAGCATTGCTAAATATTTCCACCACACGGTTGTCATTCAAACAGTCAGGTAGTTCAAGTAAAAATACTTGCAAACACGATGCAGCAAGAACAGGGGAGTTCTGCTCAATAGCATATCCCATGAGTTCCACAGCATCTTCTCTAGAAGAAACTAAAGATGCAAGTTTCCTATCACATGCATCTTTGAGCCTTTCGCAGCAGAACTTATTTGCAAATACAAGGATTTCTAACAAAAGATTTGGAGGGACTTCGTTTAAACTGCCTGTCAAACTGAACTCACTTATTATCCTCATACCTGATGGAGTGATATTGTTTTCAGACAAATCTATGTTTTTGCAAAGTGATTCCATAAAACATCCATTAAGCATAGCATAGAATGGAGCTGAAAGAGCCGCAATTTTCTGCCTATCGCAAACTATTTTCTCTTCACCAATCCTAAATACAACATGTCTCAAAATTTGGTCCCCACTCATTGGTACAGGCTCATGGGAACCCACATTTGTATCATTTTGAAGCTGAGAGGCAACATCTACTGGTCCAAACTCTTGTGCACATTTGTCACAATTGGAAAGCAGGTCAGTGATAAGCTCTTCTCCTTGCTTCTCATACTTTAACCATGCCCCAAACACAAGCTTCTCGTGAAGGGTAATAGCCTTCTGCCAAGCTTTCCGAAGACTTTGCCGCATCAATTTGGCTTCACCAAGGCCCCTAAAGACCTGAAATTGTAATAAAAAGAGACTCGACTTCTCTTGAACAGGACACAATTCGAGTTCTTCATGTATTTGAGCTAAAACTTCTACATAATCAACTGGTTTATAATACGGTAGTAATGGTGGCTCAGGTACCTTGATAAGAGACTCTCTACGATATCATATCCCCACAGCAGCAACACAAAATACGAAAAAAAAAAAAAAAAAAAAGAAGTCTTAATCTGCCCAACATGAAAATGAAATAAACAATAAAGAGAAATAAAATAGATACTTACATGGAAGAAGATGCAAGGTGTTGTGAAGACAATTTGGAGAGCTTTCCTCTTTCAACTTGAAGCCATGACTGAGGATTGAAAGCATTAAGCTGTGATTCTTTACAAGAATCAGAGGGAAAAAAGGTCCTCATGGGACATAAGAGGTGAAACAATTCCCAGATCTCCACAATAGCCAGATGGGTTTTTTTCTCTCCGAAATTCAAACCCACAAACAAAAAGAAAAAAGAAAAAAAGTAAAGTAAAGCAAACACACAAAAATAAGAATCCTTCCTTCTTATCACCCTTAGCTGAGAAATCTTCTAACCTCACAACCCAACAAAAATTCCACTATCTAAATAATATAAAATATATCTCTCCCTCAGCAGCCAAAAAAGAAGCTGTTTTTACTAGTAAAAAATGAAACTTTCCTAGCAATCCAAGTCCTAAAAATCTATACGGATCCCGTTACAAAACAGAAATGAAGAATCAGAATTATGGTGAATTCTTCTAATAGATAGCAAAAGCAAACAAGATAGGACCAAACAAAGAAAAAGCACGAGTTACGCAAGATCTCTACCAAAAAAGGCAGCCAAACCAAACCCACAATAGAGCCCACATAATCTCTCACAAGCAAAGACAAAATAGCATAACAAACTCGTTACAATAAGAGAGAGAAACAGAAAGAGAAGAAACTAAAACTACCTAGTTGAGGGTTTCAATTTACAGAAGCAAATCTGACACGAGAGAGATCAAAGTGAAGGAATCCAAAGGGCAAAAATTCAGAATTCCCACTTTCTTCATTCCGCTTTTGTTTGGTAAAAGGGAAAGTTTCTTTTTCTTTTTCTTTTTCTTTTTTTCTTTATTAAAATTTCTTCCTCTCACTTTCCTTCTGTTGGAAACCGGAAAGATTTCAGCCACAGTTTGGTGCAAGTACAAAAACCGAAAATTAAAAATAAAAAAAATGATAAAAATTGACTGTGTAGGTGCGCCGTTAACGATTGGAAGTGAGAAAACGACATGTCGTTTTGTTTGGAGTAAAAGTGAGAAAATAAGTGTGATAAATGCTGTGTTGCTGTTAGGTTCAATTATTAATTAACTTGTCATAATGGGGTCCTTTGAATTTAAGTTAATTTAATTATGGTTAATAAGAACGAGTGGAGACAGTCTTGCATGTATAACACTCTTATCACAATATGATTGGGCCCACTTGATTTTAATAAATAAAAATGTTTGATTTTTTTATCACACTTTTACTCAAAATTAGAGCCAGTGACTCAGTGGTGGTGGTCAAAAAGTTCTGACATTCCTGTGTTTTCACTTAGAATTTTGGATTTGGATTGTGTTACTAACGTTAACATTTGTGGGCTTGTAAAATTCCAATCCATAAATAAACGGGCTGGATTAGAAAAAAAAAAAAAAAAAACTGCTCATCCATTTGTTTAAAATAGGTATAACTGGAAGTTATAACTACCTGAGGAGAAGCAGAGACTGCCTGAAGTATAACACACCTTTTGGAGCATCAGATTCAAGCATGGTAGATTACAGACAGTGACCAATATCGTCAACAGAAGACCAGCGATCATACAATTGCAACCAGCAATCTGCTGTAGTCCAACTATCGATATGCTCACGCACAAGAGTGCAGAGATGGGATGCTGCTACTCGTCCCTCAAACATCCTATAATCGGAGAAAGTGTGGGAATTGCCTGGACATCACACATTGCCGATTGGTACTGCCGAGAGCCAAATAGAAACAAAACCGGAGTTCCAAGCACTCTAGTGCAAGTTTAAAACCAAGAACCCGATTAATTTCTGCAAGTGCAGCTTCAGCATTCTGTTCATCATTAAGGAAGCAGCCCATACATATGGGGTAAGTAAGAGTTGGGTCCAACTCAGTTGCTTTCTCAAGATCTTCCACCTCTTATCAACCTTCACAGTATAATGATCTCTCCTGATACATCCATCCCAGTGGAGTAACAGAGGAAATCACATTGCTGAGCTTCTCATAACACCTAAGTTTATGACCCTTATAAAACCCAATCTGCTAAACCGGTAATAGAATGTTGGCCTGCATTTACAGCTGCCTCAAACAGAAGTTCAGCTTCGTCATACTCTTTCCTCAAGAACCTCACACATCCAAGTTGATGAAATGCCAGCAGTTTCTGTCGATCAACTTTTAATAAAAAAAATTATTCTCTCTCCCACCCAACTTTTTCCTCCGATTTTGCAGGTGGGAAAAACTTTCCCACTACACACATTGAATTATTTAAATAATTTACATTTGTTTTATTCCATTTCTTTTATTCTGCTCGTCTTCGTCTCTTTTCTTTTACTCTGTTCCATTTCTGTTATTTTGTCGTCCCTCACTCATTTCCATTTCTTTTATTTTGTCGTCCCTCACTCATTTCCATTTCTGTTCCATTTCCATCTCTTTGATTCTGTTCGGTCAATCACCATGGCTGAACAATGTAATAGTAGAGGTGTGCTTGGGGAAATTGATTTAAATGTTCTTCCAACATTAGAAGCTACGAATGAAGTTGATGACATAACTGAGAAAGTTAATACACATGTGAGTCGAAAAAACCTTACAAATGAACAAAGGCAAGCAATTTTTGAATCTCGATTGAAGCGAAGTGTTAATGGACAATGGAAGAAAAACACTACATAATTGAAAGGTGCTTCCTTCCTTTTTGCAGGTTCTACAACCTTAGTAGATAAAGAGAGAAAGGAGATGAGGGGCGGAATAGAAAGAGAGAAAGGGGATGATGGTGATAGAAAATGTGGAAGAGAGGAGATAGGGAAGAGATAGCAAAAAAGAGAGAGAAGATGGAAGCAGAAACGTAGAGTAAAGAAAGAAAAAGTGGGCAATGGAAAATATGGAAGAGAGGAGAAGAGGGGAAGAGATAAGATAAAGAGAGAGAGAGGAGATGTGGGCCATGACGAAAAGTGGAGAAGGGAGACAGACAAGACAAGCAGCGACATTTAATTTGAAAAAAAACTACACCCTTAAAACGACTTTTAAAAAAAAACAAAGGGAGTATATATTTTATGGCACGTGGGCCGTGCTGTGCCGTGCCGTGCCAGGCCGGCCCACGTGCCAAAAGCCTTGACCCGCAAATATTGTTTGTTTATTTATTTATTTTTTATGGCATGTAGGCCGTGCCGGCCCACATGCCAAAACCCGAGGCCCACGGCACAGCCCCCATGGCCCATGGGCCATGGCACAGCATGAAATTTTCGTGCTGTGCCGTAGGGGGCCGTGCCGATTCTGCCACCTCCACAGCAGATATAAATAACATTTATTAAGTGCAGCATGTTTCTTTGACCTCCAATTCATGGTATTAGCCATAACTTTTTAGCTAATGTATTTACATTTATCATTTATAACCAAAGGGCTGAATGTTCTAGACCAAAAATATGGTGCTAACTTCAGTACAGTGAGCTAGCCAACATCATAACCTCGACATGTTGCTTGACTTTTGAATCTTCCTAACACAAACAGAAAGATTGAGGTAATAGAAATTCCTTTGTCAATATACAATTCACAGCCTCCATCCCTTGTCACAAATAATAATAATATAAAAGTAAGAAGCTTCCAAGGATGACGTATATCCACTAGTTAAACTACTTAAGAAGGAAGAATATGATACATAAGAGAGAGAGAGAGAGAGAGAGAGAGAGAGAGAGAGAGAGAGAGGCAAAAAAAACAGTGGAGCAAATACTAATAAAATAAAAGTAAGAAGCTTTCAAGGATGACTTATATCCACTAGTTAAACTACTTAACAAGAATATGACACATACATATGAGAGAGAGAGAGAGAGAGAGAGAGAGAGAGAAGAAGAAGAAGAAGAGGTGGAGCAAAGATGGTGAAAACCTATTTCGAAGACAGATGATAGCAGACCACTTCCAGAGTTAGGAAAAATATAAACAAATTGTGGGGGTAGCAGAGAATCCATACCTGGCCTTTCCGCAGCCTATCTGAGGGACACTTCAACGCATCTTCAAGCAGTGAAATAACAGTTGAAGAACTAGATGAATCCTGGCTAGAGTCAGCCAGTGCATAGGCTTTAAGGAAGAAGGCCTCAAAGGATCTTTTAATTTGTATAGACTCTTCCGCTTTTCTGAGCCCTTCTTCACAATGACCTGTATCATATAAGATCCATCCCTCATACACCAGCCGCTCATGGTCACTAGGTGCATGGTGGCGAGCTAACTGTAAACTTCGCATGGCTGCCTCAGGACAGTTCAACCTAATTGAGATAAAAAATGAGGTTTAACTCACACTTATACGAATAATCTAAACACCACATAACATGCTAAATATACAGAAGAGGAACACGGAGTTGAATTCAGGATCAAGAATCAGAAATTATAGGAAATTTTGGATTTTGCAGTGAAATCCATCTTTTTTTTTTCCTTTCGTTGCACCAAATTCCAAATCATTTTAACAGTTGCACAATGTGGCAGGTTATTCATTTACGACGAAGCATAAAAAAATAACATCAAATAATAATACACATAAAATAAGGTTGCATATGCTTGATTAGAAAAAAAAAAAAAAAAAAAAAATACCGCTCATCCATTTGTTTAAAATAGCTATAACTGGAAGTTTATAACGAAGCATAAAAAAATAACATCAAATAATAATACACATAAAATCAGGTTGCATATGCTTGATTAGAAAAAAAAAAAAAAAAACTGCTCATCCATTTGTTTAAAATAGCTATAACTGGAAGTTTATAACATACCTGAGGAGAAGCAGAGACTGCCTGAAGTATAACACACCTTTTGGAGCATCAGATTCAAGCATCTGGTAGATTACAGACAGTGACCCAATGTCGTCAACAGAAGACCAGCGATCATACAATTGCAACCAGCAATCTGCTGTAGTCCAACTATCGATATGCTCACGCACAAGAGTGCAGAGATGGGATGCTGCTACTCGTCCCTCAAACATCCTATAATCAGGAGAAAGCGTGAGAATTGCCTGGACATCACACATTGCCGATTGGTACTGCTCAAGAGCCAAATAGAAACAAAACCGGAGTTCCAAGCACTCTAGTGCAAGTTTAAAACCAAGAACCCGATTAATTTCTGCAAGTGCAGCTTCAGCATTCTGTTTCATCATTAAGGAAGCAGCCCTATACATATAGGGGTAAGTGAGAGTTGGGTCCAACTCAGTTGCTTTCTCAAGATCTTCCCACCTCTTATCACCTTCACAGTATAATGATCTCTCCTGATACATCCATCCCAGTGGAGTAACAGAGGAAATCACATTGCTGAGCTTCTCATAACACCTAAGTTTATGACCCTTAATAAAACCCAATCTAGCTAAACCGGTAATAGAATACGTATGGCCTGCATTTACAGCTGCCTCAAACAGAAGTTCAGCTTCGTCATACTCTTTCCTCAAGAACCTCACACATCCAAGTTGATGAAATGCCAGCAGTTTCTGTCGATCAGTTTCAGCAGAATCTAGCAGTCGTTCCAGGAAACAAACTGTTTTATCTGATTGAGGATCAAGGTTCATAGCAACTTCACTTAATAAACAGTACAGTGAAAAAGGAGCCACCCCAACCATGATTGATCTACGGTGTCTATCAGCATTGCTAAATATTTCCACCACACGGTTGTCATTCAAACAGTCAGGTAGTTCAAGTAAAAATACTTGCAAACACGATGCAGCAAGAACAGGGGAGTTCTGCTCAATAGCATATCCCATGAGTTCCACAGCATCTTCTCTAGAAGAAACTAAAGATGCAAGTTTCCTATCACATGCATCTTTGAGCCTTTCGCAGCAGAACTTATTTGCAAATACAAGGATTTCTAACAAAAGATTTGGAGGG